AGGGTGGTGTTGGGCATGGTTTTTTCCTGCCGGAGGGCCGCCATCTAAGCTTTTGCAACCAGGGAAGACCCGAAACCCCAAAACGCCTGCGGTGTTGTTTGTGCTTTCGAGTAGCCGGTCGTTCGAGCATTCAAAGCTGTTGCTTTGGAGCTTTAGCGGATTAGGGTGGATATGTTGTTGCTTCAACAAGCCGGCGGTTCAGGTATTCTTGAAGCACACCTGGGCTCCGTCTGACAGGGTGCTGTGAGGCCGAAAGATTCTGCGGTTTAGTGAACTTCCAGCCTCGGAGTTTCACATCTCTCTGTGGCAGGGATCTCTCGTTGTTTGAAGCCCTACGCGAGTCACTACAACCCCTTCCATTTTCACCATTCCTAGGTGGCAATTTAGGAAACTTTTAAATTTCACTTATGGTTCCTATAAAAGTACCTATTCATAAATACTTTTCAGAGCCCAAAAACTGCAACCCAGATTCCGAAACTCGGTGCCTGCAGACGAGGGCTGAAGAGAAAGCCGAGCAAAAACTCCCAGAGCTCTGAGCCCGGAAGCCCTGTCTTCAAAAGCAAGCGAAGCCACAAGCAATCAAACAGTCAGGCATCACCGCAAGGAAGCAAAAGAACCAGGTATTATAGGGTTCACAACTTTTTTCACATGAATGAAAACCTCAGAAGATCATAGAAGCATTTTTCCCGAGCACAACGAAAGCGCGCCCAGGAGCATGAGTCCCTAGATGAAGCTGCCGACCGCTTTTCGACGAAGCTCGCGGCGGGTCGTTCTGGGACCGGCCCGAAAAGATGTCTTGCTTAGTTGCTCGAGGGCCTCGGGGTCGTTTTCAGGGGCTTTCGGGATGCATGCAGGGATTTTGGGGGTTGTAGGGTGTGCTAGCTACTGCCTATACCCCGCAATGTGATGCCTTCTTCGCTCAACCCCAATTTGGCTCCTGTTCTTCAGGGTTTGAAGCTTCATGTGACTAATTTGAGCTCCTTGGGTTACAACATGTGGTTTCCGACTGCCATTACAGGCTTCTTGTCAGTTGGGCAGTTGAGTTTTTGCGTTTGGCATCTGGTCTGTGAAGTGGCTTCGGAGCCTTCTTCCGCAGGTTTAGAGTTTAGGATTCAACAGAATACCGAGGCTTGACTGATTTGTAACTAGTATAGTCCATGCATACCTACATGTTAACAGACCTCAGAACCATACTTTGAACTTCAATACCCGATATGATGGTGTCGATGCTTCAGCCGCTTCCAGGTCCTGTTGGCCGGATGTGGGCCCGCATCGGTGCTTTCGCATGTGACTCTAAATGCTAGATCCTAAACCCTTAGAGCCTCGAAATCCCACACCCTACACCCCTAACTCTGAAACCTAAAATCCCTCAATCTTTAAACAGGCCCTACACCCCTAATTACTAAACCCTAACCCCCCAAATCCTAAACCGTAAACCCCTACACCCTAAACAGGCCTTCCCTCAAGCTGCCCAGCTGAGGGCTGGGTCGAGAAAAACAATCTTTCCGATCCTTCGTATCTTTTCAGAAATAGGATGCGAGTCAGCTACTGCACTTAAAGACTTCTTCTGCGAACCCCGAACCCTGTACTCACACCGCAGGGATGATCCGCCAAAGAACTTCAAGTAACTATGACCTTACTTCCGGAAGTGTGAAACTGACGCCCCGAGACGCCAAACCGCAGGAAGTCCTCGCTCATTTGGCTTTGGGGCGTCTGGAAGCAGGCTGGGCACGGCCAGAAACCCTAAATCCCTAAACCGAAAACTCTAAACCGGGGGTTTAGGTTTTGTGGCTTTAGGGTTTTAGGGCAGGGCTTTGGGTTTAAGCTGCAGGTTGTGGCGGCTGTTGAGGTTCGAAGTTTGCAGGTTGGGGCCTTTATAGGTGAGTCATGCCGTAAGCCTCAGTACGATCCTAACGAGTACATTATGTTGCATGTTCATTCCAGCAGTTTGATGCTTAGGCTCGGGGTTGCGAGCTTAAGGTGTATAGGACAACATGTTTTTTTTTAGTAGGTTCTTCTTGCAAATTAGCCTATAGAGTTTATACGGACGCTACAGAAAAGAGTAGAGTAGGTTTTGGTAGCGCAAGGTAGAATTTAGGGTTGAGGGCTGGTTTGTGCGAAAGACCCCCTGCTCGGACCCGAGACCAATCCGTAAAACCTGAAACCCATAGACCCCCTGAGAAGCCCTAACCCCCTGAAGCTTCAGACCTTTTCAGCACCCTAAACCCCTGAAGCCCTAGGCACTAAATTCGATACACCTTTATGCAGTCTTAGCCCCAAGCCCGACAGCCCGAAAGGCCCTGAGTCCCCAAAAGCCACGGGTTCCCAGAGACTCCAATATTCCCTAGTTAAGGAATATTCCTTAAAGCATTTCAGGGATCCTACTACAGCTTAATGTAAAGTATATTCCTTAATTAAGGAAAAATATAGGCGTCCTCTAAACCCTAAACCCTATAGATCCATTATAGATCCCTCTAAGGAACCGTACGGCATATTCTTTCCTTAAGAAATATTGGAGTCTCTAAATTTACGCCCTTAAGATTCAGGTCCATGGCATCCTCATGAGACCAGAAAGACTATTCCTTAATTAAGGGACACTGGCATCCCCTCAACCCTCAACCCTATAGATAGCCCTAAGGTATATTCCTCAGGTCCATGGCATCCTCATGAGACGGCGGAGGAAGAAAGGCGAACTTCTGGAGCAGACCTTGATTGGCGCCTGGCTTTGGGATGCGGGGATTTTGTGATTCAGGGTTTTTCGGGTTTAGGGTCTAGGGTTTAGGGTATGTAGAATTAGAGACCGTATTTCGATGCGTTCTGTAGAGTTTTGGGGTTTGGAGTTTAGGGATATAGCGTTTCGAGATGCACCGACTGCTTTTTTGGGATTGGTTGTTATGGTTGCTTGATTATATGTGTTCCCAAAAAAGCTAGGCTTTCTGTCGGTAGTATGTTGGAAAGCAGGAATTTGGGGTATTGGTGTGGGGTTTTCGTACTCGGTGACTGTTGGGCTGGGGATCTGGGTGTTTCATATCAACTGGGAGTTTGCGAGATTTAGGGGTAGCTTATCTGGGGTCCCTAGAATATGGATCCTATGATATAGGATACTCTATCATTGTCCCCTATTTTCGGAAACTCCCAACAGGTTCTAGCGGATTCTAGCGCAGCTAGGCAAACTCGCAAACTTTCCGACCCCTAGACGCCGTCTCAGGCGACCTCATTGGACCTTTTCGTCACTGGATGATCTATGCTGTGGAAAATCGCTGCGAGAGTAAGCTGCGTCACGGCTTTGCTCAAGCACGGGTTTGGCGGCTCCGGGGCTCCGGGTCAAAAAGACGCAGAGGTCACAGATACAGAGAGTTCATTTTTTCGGCTTTGGATGCTCTGATTTGCTGTTTCGGTGTTGGCCATTCAGGGGGGGGGGTTGGGCTTTTCAAGCGGGCTTCGTCGGTGCTCTTTCGATACTGTCCATGGCTGCCATGGTTCTGTGAGGCCGCTGGGTTGAACAGAGCAGTCCACCACGGTATGCTTGCCGATGCTGTAAACGGGAGTGCATCTAAGCCCTTGAAACTCTGGAGACTCCGAGTTCTCACGTGTTTCTATCCGGTAGATATCTTTCTCTGGTTTAGCCTGCATCGCTGTCTTCGACTCCGGGAGCCACAAATTACTACTATTTGCTTAAGAACCCCCAAAAAATAAAAATAATAATCCCTATATTACCCCCATAAGAAATATATTTTTTATTTTTTTGGGGTGGGTTCTTAAGCAAATAGTAGATTACTACCCCAAGGTCCATCGACCCAAGACCTGGAAGCCCTCCACCGTAAGTCCCAAGGGGTTTAGGGTTTAGGGTTTAGGGTTTCCAAATCGAGCGCCAAGGATCACTTACCACACCTACCTCCAAGAGAGGGCGATGTATACTCGGACAGCTATGGACCTCCAGAACAAGAAAGAGGACGAGAGTGGGTAGGGTGTTGGGTTTGCATAGGGCCTTCAGGGATTAGGCGGTTTATGTTTTTTAAAGATGCGGGTTCACGGCTTTCGGGTTTAAGTGTTCGCCATCGTTTCCGAAAATTAGGGGTACCTTATTTGGGGGTCCTTATAATAGGGGTCCTATTATTTACTATCTTAGGGTCCCCTGTTTTCGGAAACTCCCATATCCTCTCGCTTCAAGCGCCTCGATACTCACAAAGATTAACCGCCAGCACTTGCTTGTTCTTGTACACTCGTTTCACGCCACAGGCGCCCGCAGTTTGGAGTTCTCTGCACAATGCACAGGAGCAGTGCAAGCTCTAGCACTGGAACTTCCAATCCCAATCTCGTAGGCAAGGGCCTTTAGCCCAATCAGCCATGAGTCCTAAAGTCTACATGCACAAACCTAGCCGTATACCCGTAACTACCCCTGACCTTCAACAAGCCACATCCCCAAAGCCCCGTATGGAATCAAGCCTCAAATCCCAGATCCTAAGCTCTTAGTGGCATACTTTCCTCAAGTATGGCCTGCTGCGAGGACCTCGTTCTTGACCTTCAGGCATCCTGCTTCGGCTTGCCTTTCTGAATTATTGTCCATGTCTATCTTGCAGTACAAGGAATTGTTGTGCATGTGTCTGTGTGTGTGTGTGTGCATGTGTGTGTGTGCGCGCTTGTGCGTTAGTTAGTGTGTGAATGTGTGCGCTGTGTGTGTCTGTGTCTCTGTGTGCGTGTGTGTGTGTGTGTGTGTGTCTCTGTGTCTGCTTGACAGGTTCCAGTGCGAGTCCAGTTGCTGCTCTTTTTGATTGCCTACCTGGACCCGACGTTCGTATACCTTATAAGGGGAAGGAAAATGATACTCCCTTTTCTTTGCGCCAACTTTGGTGCCTTTGCTCTTCTCTTAGAATTGAGATAGTTACAATTGGGCAGTGTGAGTGGTGCGTAAAGTTTCGTTGTGAGAGCAATAAGGTCGTGAGGGTCGTCGAGCTTGATGCACCCTAAACTGCCCTCATTCCTAAACCTCAGATGTAGCCATGGGCAGGTCAGCGACCACTCCTGCAATCGCCTGACGAAGCAGCTGGAGATCAAGAGGATGGTCGAAACCCCAAATCCAAACCGTAAACGGGTTTGGGGATATTTAGAGGGAACCCTCGATGTCTTGATTTTGAAGCGCACTTCGTCGTATGAACAAATTTCCCGGGTTGGGGATGCCCTGGATTTCTTAACCAAATCTGTTAGTTCGAAGTTGGCTCCCAAATTGGCCAATTGGAATCCCCACAACATAACGCGCACGAAGAAACGACTACGGAGTTCGAGCCCATGCTGTATCGTTTTGCGCTTGACAACTAAAGCACGGCATCCTTCGAATCTTCATGAAGCCATGCTTTATCCTTTATGAGGCCTGTACTCATCCCCAGCATTCTTAAGCAGTGCTGTCGCTGTGCTAGTACCCCTATATCGTCCACTGTGTCACTATGTTGTTTATGTGCTTCACTATAGAAAATATCTCGACACCGTTTTCTAAGCGTCGAGCTCACTGTAGCAGGTTTCAGAGTTCAGCGTTGTATGGAACCTTGCAGGAAGGAGCGTGCGGCGCTGCACCAACGGCTCCTGGACCCTTGGCAGGGCCATGCTTGGCCTAATGTGGTCTGACGGGTGGCTCTCATGGTTTAGGATGTAGGACTCAGTTCGTTTATGAATCTGTCGCATAAAGTTCTGCTTTTCTTGCTATAGGATGACATCATCCTTCATTCACGATTGCTGGCTGAGTACATATACTTTCGTAATCCTTCCTCTTCTGCTTCGAAGTCTTTGCAAAACCTCGAAACCACTAAACCGAAAATCCGAAACTCCGGAGCTTGCTATCTTTCCTCCGGGCTTATGGGGGACTTTACTAAACCCTATACCCTAACCCTAAACCCTATAGACTTTGGTTTTGGAAACTCAGGAAGTTCGGCCGGAGCTGGTCAAGGAAGTGCTGTCACAGGTGCCTCCCTCTCAGGACTTAGGGTTCAGGGCTTAGCATCCCCTTTGTAGTTCTTATGCAATGACAATGACATATAGTAGGGTTTAGGTGTAGGGCTTTATACTTATCATATCAGGTATTTAGGTCTGGTTGTCCTTATTTGGTTATGTGGGATCCGGTCGAGCATGAACCCCGAAGCCCATCTTAGGGTGTAGGTTCAGGAACGTCACGGCGACGGTTTCAGGAGTTTGGGCTTAAGGGGTTTAGGGTGTCGGGTACCTTCAGGCTCTCCTGGCAGTAAGTCGATTTAATTTCAGGTTTCCTAGATTTCGAAACCGCGAGGGTCCTTTGTAAATTCGGCACAAGGCAAGGCAGCCGGAGGCCATGCTAGGATGGACCTTCCCCGGATGGGCTTTGGGGTTTGGGGTTAGGTCAGAACCCTGCGTAACCCCCCTCCCTCCCCAAGAAGCCCTTAAACCACAGAAAGGTCCTGAGTTAACAGTCTGGGGTAGTGCTGATGTCCTCAACTCCTAACCCAAACCGCACAACCCGAAGCCTCGATCGCATCCCAGACCTCAAACCTCAAAGCCAGGAAACCCGGAAACCCTATGAAAGCTGCCTTGAAACCCTAAACCCTAAACCCTAAAAACAAATCTCTGCGCTCTGACTGGGTCCCTAGCCCCCTAGGTGCTTGACCTGAGCCTGGCAGAGATCATGAAGACAGGCGCCCCCGAATTATAGGATTAAAAAAAAACGAATTATAGGATTTTCCGAATTACTTACCTTTGGTTAGGAGGGAATGGAAGAATGGAAGAATGGAAGTAATAGTAGTTATAATTGTACCCCATTCCTCCATTCCCTACTAACCAAAGGTAAGGTTATAGGATTTGTCTAGGGTTTTCACGGGCTTTGCGTGGGATGTTTTTAGGGGCTTATACGCGTTTTGATAGGTTTCATGGGGCTTTTGCCGGGCTTTATAGGACCGTCATGACTGGGATAGGGATTTGGGCGTTTGGAAGCGAAGGGTTCAAGGTCTCAAGAATGCTTTTCCTAAGCCGGAGAGCAGTGGCTCCTAATTATGGCACCCAGTGCTTTGTGGTTTGGGATTCAGGGTTTAGGGTCCAGGGGTGCAGGGGTTAGAGGGTCTAGAGTCTTGAGGTTTACTAATTTAATTTAGGTTTAATACGGGCTCGAACCAGGAGTCAAGGAATCGCGGTTTGCTGACATTGATTTTCCGAGATGTTCCCGGGCGATCGCCCAACGCCCTAAACCCTGCAGCACCCCGGGCACCCTTTTTGTTGTTGGTTTTCGTCTGATTCGCTAAACTCTGCAGGGCTTGCTTCCGATCCATAGCAGATCCCCGCAAAAAGAAACAGCGTGTGTGGACACCCTTACAAGATACCCTAGGGCCCCAAAGTACAGCAGTTCCTTTTTTGGGGTTTATAATTATTTAGAATCCTATAGGGTAATCCCCAAATACTATGGGCAAGCTCTAGCAATCCCAGTAAGCCCTGAACCCTCAACGTGTTAACCTTAGAGACGACACCAGACCGAAACCTGAGACACAGAATTCCAGCACAGTTACAGTAATATGGGGGGCCTTAGTAATTAGAATAGGGTTTTGGGGTCCATCATGCTATAAAAATGATGAAGAGCCCCCAAAACAGTATGATGGTAATTAATGATCTAGGCCCCTGTAGTATTGTCCAGGTTAGAGTTTGCATGGGTCCGAGGGTGTAGGGCAAAAAGGCTTTAGGGCAGGGGAAGGGCGGGGTAAGGGATCGGGATCCATTGGTAGGAAGGATGATTTAAGAGACCCCTTAAAGGCTACTCCTTCTGAACCCTACTTCTGGCTCTCTTCAAAGGGACCTTATAGAGAGGGTCTATATCCCCAAGGATCCCCTTAATCCTAACTCCCAATTGGGTGAAGATCATCATGTTCCATCCGCTTTCACAGTCGGGACAGCTCGCTGCTAGCGAATTTGCCCTCCTCAAGCCTATACCCGAAGCCCGAACCTTCGAACGCTGCCATCTAGGGGCCTTAATATAATTACCTACAAGAATGTTCAGGAGGTTCCTTATTTACACTGTCTTTTGTTTTTGTCCCCAGACCCTATTCTAATTTTTCAGGCCCCTATATTAAGTTTGCAGGGTGGGGTCTTCAGGTTCTTAAATTCACTTGAGCTCCCCATCTTCTTCTGCAAGGCTTCTTGCACAAGACACGGAGCCGGCTCACGTTCCTCACCCGGGATTGGGCCTCAATGCTTCATCAGGACGAGGTGCGAACCATGAGATCGAGCCGTAGAGGGCGGTTTCGGATTTACGGTTTAGGGGTTTAGAGTTTAGGGGTTTACATAGGGGTTTTAGGGTTTGGGTTTAGGGTTCAGGGGTTTAGGGGCTTAGGGTTCGAGGGTTTAGGGTCGTAGAGGGCGCACTCTTCAGGGATTAATTGCTGAGGGTGGGGGCTTTTGCCTGTTTTGCGTTCCTGCGAGATCCGAACAGCAAGCCTTAAATCGTAGACCCCAAACCCTAAATGCCAAGCATTGCGTTGCTAAGCCCAAACCCCTTCAGGCCCCTTCGGCCCTCAACTCGAAGTCCTCAACCCTAAACCCGAAACTCCAAACCCCTTATTAATGCACCTGAACCCTAAACCGCTAAAGCCGAAGCCCCAGTAAACAGTTGACCTTCTCACCGCCCGGAATCGACAACCCCCATGCCCATAGTATAGGATCCGGAACAGTTCTGTGGCGACTCGAGGGTGACATGATATTACTGAGACTTCCCAGACCTCTGCATGACACCACAGGCCTTTCACCTTCAGTATCTCCCTCAACTCTAAATGCCCTGGTACCTTGGATACAACCCGCATTTTGCAACAGTTGGATAAAAGTTATGCATATATGTAGCCCCTAGTAACCTAGTGTGCCCCCTTGTGTAGACTATACAGGTATGGGCTGCTGTAGGGTGGGGGGCAGTACCCAGCCCAGACCCATGATCTCCACCGTAATGAAAAGTGTAGAACTCTGCATTTTGTCTCCCACCAACCCAAGACCCGAAACCCCAAGCATGCATAAAACAAATCATACGACCGAGGTCGGAGCCCTTCGTAACCAAGTCCTCTTATTGTAGCCCCTAGATCAGTGCACTAGAATAGCCACCCATGCCCTGTTAGAACGAAAAGCCCTGCCCCCTGTACGCTTCGAACGGTGGCCTGCCAGGATACCGCTTGGAAACTGCAGGGCCTTTCTGGAGATCAGCTGCTCACTAGGTGGGCTTACCTTAACCCCGAAGAACCTACATTTTTAAGGACTTATATAAAGAAATCAGAATAAGGAACCCTGTTAAGGTAGGGTTCACAAGTCAGGGGTTCTTGTACCCGCAGGGCAGGCCTTAACTAATGATTCGACTAGGGCTAGGGGCTAGAAAGTGCTTGGGTCGGTAGGGACTACAGGCTGAAAGTTTTAGGGTTGAGAGTTTGAGTTCAAGGGTTCAAGGTACTACCACTACGTGGGTACTTTTTACCCGTGCGGGCTTACTCGCACCCATCATGTACAGTCCAGATGTGTGCATTCAAATCTCCGGAAGAAGGCAGTGGTGAACCTAAACCTACTGGCAGATGGCCATAGAATCGGATTCAGAAGGCGGCCTGCTCTTATCCAGCAAACATGACCCCCGACCCTAAACCTAGATCCTAAACACTTCACTACACCCTAAACCATAGATCACACACCCTAACCGTGGTCTCAAGCTGATGAACGGGAAACGAGACCCCAAAGCTCTCGACAAAAGCATCTCAAGGCCTGAGCTCGGTGATCCCAGAGTAGTATAGGGCCGTAATAGTTAGAATTGGGTTTTGGGGCCCAGAATACGATACTTATGATGGAGCCCTAAAATAGCAATGGTAAATAAAGAAACGTTTTGGTTCGGCAGATAGCAGAAGCAGAGCCCTATACCCTGACCCCCAAAGCCGTGAACCTAAACCATGAACCCCAAAGCATAAACCCTCTGCCACAGCAGCGAGGTGGGCCAACCACCAACTCTCACAGTTCAAGGTCGTGGCGAACGTTTCTCGGTATTTGCCGACCTTCTACTATAGATGCCCTGAGCATTACGTCAAACTATTCCTTCGGAATCCTGGATCCGGCGATGGTGGCACCTTCCCCAAACCCTGTTTCTTTAACCCCACCATGGTGCTGACTTGGCTATAGGTGTTTGGTTTAGGCTAGTTCTGATGAAGTGCTTCTCTTCTATTCTTGTTCCGATATAAACCCGAAGATGGATGAATTACTCTTGCATTTCTGAGGCTGTGATGGAAGCAATGTCAAAGAGGAGTTCACAGGAGGGTGGCGAGGACGTCGGCTGAGAGAAGTCTTGGGGTATTGGATGTACAGTGGAGGGTGTAGCAAATTTAGGTGTTGGGGTTTTGCCTCAGGGTTTTGGGATTCAGGTTTTGTAGGGTTGGGGTTGAGGGTTTAGACAGGGAAAGTGCCGGGTCTGGGGTGGATAGTTCCGGAGCTTTGGATGTCGGGGCTAAGAATATGGGTTGAGGGTTTAGGGTTCCGAGAAGTTGACTGTTGGCCGTTGTGTGAGCTTCTGAGTATTTCTTTCCCGGACTCAGTAGATAGCAGCCAGCTCTACTTAAATGGTCATGGGACTTGTATTGAATAATAACTTCTAACCTTGCTTGTGAAGTCTGCTTGTAGAAATGAGAAGACATGTGGCGAGGTCCTCAAAAAGGACTGGAGACGTTTCGCTCTGGGTTGACAGTGAAACCGCCATTAAACTAAACCACAAGTCACAAAGCCCAAAACCTCTTCACGCCCCCGGACCTAGCTACCGTCGGAAGGAGGAGGACGACATCGAGTGGTCCGCCAGGGAGATAGAAGTGTACGGCGACCGCTGCCGTATGATCCGGGCAATGCAGCTGTGTCCAAGTTTTCGTCAGAGGGTTCTTCAAAGGCTTGCTACGAGGGCTGTCATCAGGATTCTAACTGGTCGGAAGAGTATGTATGGGAGCAAGCAGCATTAGATCAGTACGCTCAATGTATGTGTATGTGTGTATTATATGTAGAGATACGTAAAATCATTACGTACATACATTTACGCCTATACATACAGACATACATACCTACATACACACACACACACATACACACACACACACACACACACACACACACACACACACACACACACACACACACACACCCATACACATGTCTCCGTCCATAACTTCATCCGGCCGAGTTATCCACCCATGGGCAATGCGCATACATGCTCTTAATCTTCACAGCCTAAAAAGGAAGCAAGCCCTAAGCCATGAGCCCGTTTAAGCCCGTGTGTGAGTTGATAGACTGCAGGCACCGGATCCACCAGCTGGACGATGACCAGGAGTGTGGTGGATAATACTGTTGTCTTGTCCTCATTGTCATTACTAGAAGCTAGCGTCATGCAGTCACTGTCGCCATGAATATCACTACGATGCCTCCGACCTTTGACATTTTGTGCCGAAGTGTCTGACGGTGTAGCTTGGTGTGGAAATCACGGAGACAGGTCTGTCAAGGCGCCCAAGCAGGTAACTTCGAAATCCCACGCATGAAGCTCTTCTTTCCCGTCAACAGAGGCAGAAATGCCCCAGGAGGCTCAGACACTAGATATGTCATCCTCAGCAGGTTCCAGTGGGCATGTTGGACATCTTCATCACAGCTGGGCTACGCTATTGTCAGTCCCGACGAGCCTGGCGGAGTCCCGAACTCTCTCTGTGAATCCCACGAAGTCTGTGGCAGCGTAAGAACCCACGATCCGCTTAAAACGGATCCGCGTAAAAAAGGAAATGAAGACCCAAAACCCTACGCGCTTCATAGCTCCAGAACCCTAAATAAAGACCTAGATCCCTGGGGCCCGCGAGCCCTAAAACCTCTCAGAAGCTCTTCGTAAACCTGAAGTGCCAGAATGCGAGTTTGGCAGCCCCAGGTTGTTAGGAAGCCTTGCCGAAATTCCCTTGCGTTTCAGGGTTCAGGGGTGATCGTGTTTGGGGCAATGGGTTTAGGGCTCAGGGTTTATAGGGTTTATATACGGGGTTGAGCGCAGACCCTCGGCCAGCAAAACCTTAAATCCTAAACCCCCAATCCTAAACCCCTTATAGTTCCCTCAAAGGAACCCTTATAGGACCCTTGAAAAGGAACCCCTACAAAGTCTCAAGCCGCAGCCGGGAGAGAGGACGGTGCGCTGCTGGCGGTCGTCTACGGCGGAGTCTTCCAAACGCAGGCTCGGCTCCCCAAAATCTACAGTCTCCTTAGGATCTTTTGTTTTTGTTCAGATACCCAATTAAGAGAATAAACACGTTACTGTTATTATGGTTCGAAGGGGGGATAGACATGGCAAGGTACATGAGTTTTAGAGCCTTGCGAGTTGCCTTTTTGTCTCTGAACAAACTATATCACAGAATGCCAAGAAGCCTTCTCCTAACGATTAATTTAAGGGTCTCTGTTGCTTTTCGAAAATATTTTCTGGGGTTTAGGATAGACGACTTGAAAGCCCCTATAAATCCCTAGACCCCTACCCCGAAAGCGCCAACAAAAAGCACCGAAGGAGAGCGCCTCAGCGGTGCCACCACAGTGGGCCGATCCGGGGCGAGTGGAACAGCCACCTCCCTTCGTCGCCAAGGCGGGGAGGGTGTTTAGCGTGTTTCAATACAAGGGCTCTATAAGGGAGTGTAGGGAATCCATAAGGGTTCTATGCTGATTCTATATATATGGGGGGCTTTGGGTGCTTGAGGGCTCATGCTTCGGGTTTGCCGTTTAAGGGCTTAGGGCTCAGGACAGACTGTATGGGGGCTTTTGCGGGAGTACGTGTATAGACTGCAGAGGTCTGCATAACAGGATACAGATGCAGAGAAAAATGCCCTCTTCTACTCATTGAGGCACATATCGCATAAACTATAGACCAGAGTCTCGAATATGTCTCCGCTTTCGGGTTGTCTTCCATAGAATAAGTTATAAGTACGGTGCTATGATCCAAGATCTGGGTGAGGCTTTCGGGAGTCAGGGTTCAATAGATCTTCTGAACTTTTGACTTTCAGGGTTCAGGGTTTGGCGCCTTGGGAGCTAGGGTATTGTAAGCTTGAGGGGTTTAGGGTTTAGGGCTCTGGAGATTTGGAATTTCAGGGACTTTTTCGGAGGGTAGCTGGTACTCAGCGTTTTCAGGGTTTGGCCGTCTAGGGTTGCGCGACTTCACGATTCTGGGTTCCTTGTTTAAGATGTGAAGGCTCTACTAAACACCTATACAGTAAGCACGAATTAGGCACCCTAAGTCCGTGAAGCCCCGAAACACGCTGAACTCCAAGTTGAAACTTTACCCTAAGGCCCCAAAGTAGTTCCTTTTCGGGGCTCGTATATAGAATCCTATAAGGTATTCCAAAAAGGAACTACTTTGGGGCCTATGGGCAGACTCTACCTGAAGCCGCGGTAGCGGCCAGGCGTCGGAAGTCCATCCTCTCAGCTTGTGGCCTTTGGATGAGAGGGAAGCAGAAGGACGGGCCTCGTAATGTAGGGCCTTTTACATGAGAATACTTTGAGGTTCAGGGGTAGTTATACGTGAGGTACTGAATTAGGTAATTATGCCCCATGTTAGGGGACGTATAACTTTTAATTACGCATGAACCTCCAAGTAGTGTTTCACAAGGCCTCTGTGAGGTTTGAGGGGTTACTATGGTACACTGCTAGTAGGGGGGACTACAATGGAGCTGCATTGCAAATGGTTCAAGAACATATAGCAGAGGTTTCTTCCACGGCCCTGAAAGGGCCATGGGACTGATGGTAATAACTTCTACTTGAGGCAACTATGGCGGTAACTGCCTCTATCTCAGCCTACGTATTTACAACCTTGTTTACCAAGTCCTCTGATCCCCAAAAGAGGGTCGCGGGTTTAAGGTGCGGGTTGGGGTTGAGAGTTCCGGGGTTAGGGCCCTCGGGGTTTCGAGTTTTAGTGGAGTTAAAGAGGTTCGGCCGTCAGAGTTCCTGTGTTGAGGGATTGCATTGAGGTTCGGGCTTTTGGGGGGGTGCTATGATTAACCGATCTCTGCGAGACCCTAAACCCGAAACTTAAGCACAAAAGTGACCGTCAGTGGAACCAGAAGCCCGAAGATAATGTTGCAAGTGCCTGCACCTACGGAGTCCTACCGGCCTAACTACAGCTGCTTTTCCTCATGTGTTCTCGTGTATATAGCAGTCGATCATGCTTGGGCTGCCGACCCGGACTCCTACACTTGGACACATAGTTGCCAAGAAGAGTTTACGGATTCGGGGTTGCAGGGCGTTAGATTTTTATGTTACTAGTACGTTTCCGCTTTGAGTTTGCCCCCTAAACCCCAAACCCTAACCCGTAGGTTTTTACGGTTGTTGAGCATCCGAAGAAGCGCAGGACGCGCACTGGCCCTGTGCCAGGCGATCCGACAGGCTTCCGCGGGGTGTTTTCCAAAGGGTCCTAGGTATGTATAGTTGCCTTATGTATAACCCGAGTTGCCTTCAAGTATGCCCTAAACCGTGCAAAGTAGATAATTAAGGATTTCTATGATGGTTTGGGGATGTACCCCACACAACAAGAACAAGAACAAGAACAAGAAGAAGAACAGCAGCAACAACAAAGCAGCAGCAACCACGCGGAGGAACCACAGGAACCACAGGGGGGGAGGGGGGAGACAGGAACCAGAAGAACCACAAAAGGGAGGGGGAAAACCAAGAGGAACCACAGGGGGGGGGGGGAACCACAGGAACCACAGGGGGGGGGAGGGGGATTACCATGGGGGGGGGAGGGGGGGGGGGGTGCGCGGATGCTGGCACATATATAGGTACTTCGGACCCTTTGGGTTTTTGCCTCCATGGAGCTTAGAGTCAGCTCGGTGTGAAGGCTTGACGAGGGAGAGCCAAAGACAAGAATGGTCCCTTGCCCCCAAAGCAATCCTTGAGCCTCAACTTTGTGGGGTTTCAGGCAGAACTTGGTCATTGGATCAGGTTCGAGTTGCCTTGACCGTGGTGGCCAGGTGATTCCTGCATGCCCAGGGAAGTTCCTCCTTCAACCGGGGGACATCGCGCAGGGCAAGCGTCTCTGATGCCATCGGAGAGGCAGTTCTTGTGGTTCCCCATCGTTCTCCTCAAACGAAGGCTGCATGCCGTTGCCATCACTGATGTGAGTGTAGGCATCTAAAACGGAAAGGCGTAAGTAGCTGTATAACAATGGCAGATCATGCTAAGCATTATTAGGTAGGCAGGCATGCAGGCAGGTAGGTAGGTCGGTACGTAGGTAGATGCTGCCCTTCATTAACTAATAAACTCTTTCGTTCTTCTGGTTTGTTCGTTCGCGAGGTGGCTTGTTGGCTCCTTCCTTCGGTACATCTTCCCTCCCGTTCTTCGTGCCTTCCTTGCTTTGTTCCTTCCTTCCTTAGTTCTTTCCTTCGTTCCTTCGTTGATGGCAGAGGACGAGGCCGTAGCCCCATTGACACACGCAGAAATGCAACTTATCAACCCTTGATTATGAAGCCCACCCCCTTCCACCACAAACAAATCAAAGACGTCAAGCGCCAAAGATTGCAAACACATACGAAAGCTCTTTTCCTGCCCTCTGCAAAACTCTGAAGCATAAAAGGCTAAAGGCTTTTCGCCCAAGCCCTAAATCTCAAGGTCTCAGGCCTCAGGCCCCTCTACAAACCCTATACCCTGTTTCGGTCTGGCTCCCAGGAATAGTCTTCTCCCTGCCATCCTCGTGGCGGCCCTGGGGGGGTGTTGAGATTTCGGGTTTGCTCGGTTTAGGGCTTTACATCTGAATGGGCATTACTCACAATTCCTGTTTTATGGTAATCTAATGTAGGCCCATCTTTAGTTTGGTATTATGGGTCAGACGGACTTATGGTTTGGGGTTTGGGGCTTCGAGCGTTGCATACCTCAACCTGCAAACCTTAGCTTATCTTTTCGCGGGGTCTGGGTATCAACCCTAGCAGACCGTACTTTTGTTGAAGCGCCCCTGTTAGGCCTATGTTACAACAAACTTGAAATGCGGCCCCACAACCACTACGCGCTGGCAGGTTCAGCTAGACGTTGTCGTAAATGTTTTGTCGTTGACTTCCGGCTGCAGCCGTGAGCAGACTCTTCGGAAGCCCTGCGAAGTATGTTGACCTTAAACTGTGATCTTAGGGTTGGGGTTCTTGTGGTTCAAGCGCTTGGGGTTTAAGAGTTCGTCTTCCTAGGCAGGATGTGGGTTGCCGTGGAGGGAGTGTTGCTGAGAGCTGGGTTTAGATCCAACGTGCATACAGCCCTAAACCCTAAACCCCTAAACCCTGAACCCCAATACCAAACCTCCAAACCCTGAATCTTAAACCCGAAACGTCACACCCCAAACAAACCCTCAGCCCGAAACCATAAACCCTGACTAGGCCCTGAACCCCAAACCCTGGCGTTGCGAAGAACTCAGGCCGTCATCTTCTTGAGTAACGTCACTTTGCCGTGCTCCTCTGGAAGCTACCCAGAGTTACGGTTAGCAGACGGGTTTAACGGTTCAGGCTTCCGGAAGGCTAAGATCTGTTTCTTGGGCGATGCGGTTCAAAGTTTAGGGTTTAGGGTGATAAAAATACTGGGCTTTTTGTTCTTTGTTATAGTGCGCTTCTGGCCGAAAGAAGCTTCCGCGGGGCACATCGCGGGATTTCCGAAGGCTGGCGTCTTTTTTTCTGCAGGACTCCTGGTAATGCCGATCTCACCTTGCAGGCTTTACATTGGCGTTACTCATCCTCCTCCGGGATTGAACTTCGCACCGTTCGGGGCTAGTGACTGGTGGCTTGAAGCCTTCCGTTGAGAGCTTACATGGGCTCCGCCAAAAACACGACTAGTTAGCAACAAGATACCTCAGTTCAAACAATTCGCCAACAAAGTGGCAGTGCTACCACGGGGCTTAAAAGCTAACGATCTGCAACTCGTAAGCTCTTGAAAGGCGTATTCATTGCCACCGCAAAGGTTACGACCTCTTCGGTGCCGTGTCCTTTTCTGTGTCGACGGTGTTGAACAAAGAGAAGGACATTGCGTTCGGCATAGGATTTTCCGAGCACCTTTAAAAGGGGATGCGAGATGTCGGAGCCCCTGCATCTTTGACTTGCCGGCCCGTACCATGTTGTTGTATATGCATGTCACTAAATCAGGCAGCAGGGACATTGACTAGCCTGCAGTTTGTGATATTGTGACCCAAAGGGTCCTATGCACCGATATAGTAGAATGTAGGGTTTCCATCTTAGGAATCATTATTATGACTTAGGGAAGTATCCCCCATGACAGTACGTAGCACCCTTTGGGTGACTGCGGAAGGCATCGCGGTAGAGCTTCCAATCCGAGTGCCCTTTCAACCCTAAGTTCGCTTTGCGTCCGAAGTCACCACCCTACTCTTAGGGGTACTTAGAAATACTTTTTAAGTTTTAGTTATTATAATACCTAAGAAATAGCTAGAATTTTAATTTTTGCTAGGGTTCTAAGTTCAGTATAGTACTTTGGAGGCCTAAATACCTATACTATTGTGCGCCCTCCTTGTTAGAATTCTAGCAGTATAAGGGGCCCAAAACCCTATTCTGAGAGACCTCAAGGAGATCAAGGGTGACAAGATCCGCAAGCAGGACGGGTGCTGTCGAGATTTCTGAGGCAGTGTGTACTCCATAGGACTATAAAGCCTTATCTCTCAGAGCCCGGAGCCAACAGTTCCAAACAAGGGTTTATCCAAGGTGCAGGTCTAGACTTTCACTTTGGGGTCGTGGGTCGGAGTAACCCTGAATCCCAAGTTGAACGTTCGGGAGAACTGTTGAGCGATTCAGTGTTTCTTCGCTTGCAGGACGTACTGGTTGCTCGTTCCTAGGCAAGCCCTAAACCCCAAAACCCTGAATCCTAAAAGCCTAATCCAAGCCCTGAACGCTAAAACCCTAAACCCTGAACCCGAAAACCCCAAAACCCAAAACCCGTAATGCAGACTTAGGATGGCCGATTCCAGGGCTGGTATTTGGGGCCCGTTTAGTTCACTTTGGCTTTCAAGGGAGCGGGTTTGGGGCAAGTACCGGGCCGGATGATCTCGAAGTGGGATATGGGTGTGCATTGGGTACTGCCCCTTTACAGTGATGCAGTAAGAGTCTATAATACGATAGGGCTTCTCTTCAGTGCCCCATATTATCTAGAATAAGTATCCAAGGTTTACCTGGTTACCTGATCATTCTGGGTTGTGTTGCGCTCGCTTGCGTCGCTTCTCGGAGACCTCTGTCGCGAAACTACCCAGATCTTCGCAGCATTCCCAAACACCAAATCGTAAAACCCTAACCCGTAAATACTGGCCTTCAAACGTTACGTGCTATCCACCCGAAAGCAGACTACACTTTTCAGCTCTGACCCGCAGAATACTCTGACCGCCGACGTGGAGATTCACGTGGAGGTGCTGTTCAGCTTGTGGTTAGGGGTTGCAGTTTTCGGAACGACAGACTGGAATATAGAAGCCTGAATGCGTCATCATAGTATTCCTTTGAGTTCATCAACAAAGTTATACTCGTTATAACCCACTCGTACCCCCCGAAACCATATTCACGCGATTACGCCCCCACATTCGGGCACATGTGTGTTGCTATTGTGTTGCTGTTGGTTTCTACAGGGTCTGCAGTCCCATAGTGGAGAATGTGAGCTGCTGTTCGCCATGCTCATGGCGAGATGACTTGAAGAACTGAGCTAGCTTTCCCGGTAGTTCGTCATGCTGCTGATAGCGTAACATCCCTAAGCCCTAAACCCCAAAACCCCCTAAAGAATCCACGGTCGCCATTGTCATAGAAACATCTGCAGACCATATGAGATGCTGGTGGCATCACTCTTGACAGATATTGTGTTTGTTTCAGTAGCGTGCGACGATGGTCTTTCTTCGCAAGTGGGGGCTGGCATGTCTGGAAATTGCTGCTACAGCTTATAATTAGCTTATACGTTGCTTCTCAACACTCAACTTGCGTAATGCAGCAACATGAACTAGAACAAAGCCATATAAGATCGACAGTAAGAGCTCTGATAAGAACTCGGGAGCAGGTTGCCACATTACGGTGCTGATCTAACTTCTTGATCATAAATCATAACATGCTTCGCCTAACTACTAGCCCTTTGGGTCTGGCCCCACTCAGTAACACTTGGATATCATTCATAATATAGATCGATTAGGACCTTAATAGTAGCCGTATGATAGACCGTTACTGTATGGGGGCAGTACCCAAACTAAACCACAAGTTCCGTTTTGCAGTGTTGCCAATCCCTAAATTGCTCCGCTGGTTCCTGATGTCGCATGGAGGTGCCCCCCGAGCTGCCAGCACATCTCGAGGTACCTGGGCAGAACGCAGACATGACACGCCTGGGTAGGCGGTAGGCATTTAGTACCCGGATTCTGCTGTGCTTGCGGGCTAGTTTGGGGTTTGGTTCCCTAGAAGCTAGGATTTCAATTTTCGATCTTGTGTGTATGAATATACATATATATATATATATATAGATATGTGTACATGCATGTGTACATATGTATCTATATAGGGCCGCTTGAGAATACGACTACTAGGAATCACAATCCTGCTTGATAGGCGAAAGAAGTCTGATCACATGCCCCCCCTGTCTTGTTTGGTCTCGCGGCTCCCACAAGAGCTCCCCGCTCCTGCCTGGTCATCTCAGCCTTGTTCGGGCGGCTGTCAACCAAGACGGGTTTCACGTCTTCAAACCCTAAAATCCCTACACCCTGAACCCTTTTTTCACCCTTATATTCCCAGAACCTAAAAAAACCTTCAACCGTCTCAGGGTACGTAGGGGGATCGTAGGATTTCGGTTCAGGGAATGGTTCAGAAGGGTCTGCCGGTTACGGAAGCTGCTTCCCTGAATTCGGTGCAGCCCCCGGCCAAAGAGGCTAAATAAAACACAGTTCCATCTAAACCCTAAACCCTGAACCTCTCGATCTCTTCCGACACTCCTCGCAGAGGGAAAGGGATGTTTAAACAAGGAACCCTTTATATCTGAAAGTCATCTCCCTAAACCCTAAACCCTCTGTATCGAGGCGATGACACTCGAATCGAGGAGGACCCTGGGTCCGGTGCGGTGACCCCTGTCCCTCTACATCTAGGTTTTTGAGTACAACGGTTGATCATATAAATCCTGCAGTACCCATAATAAGAAATATACCATGATTCCCGTAGTTCAGGGTCCTTAAGGTAATGCGGGATTTATATCATCAACCGTACCCCTTTGTTTCTTTCTGGGCCCTATTAAAACCGAATATTCGGAAAGAGGGTACCCTTGTTGTTAAAGGGGCTTCGCAGGAACCTAGACATGTGACTCCAGGGGTGCTGTGGGTCTTTTAGGGGTGGCGACGACTTCTTTGTTGTGGTTTCGGGGGTTTCAGGATGCCACACTTGGTATGATTGCGAAGAGGCAGGGTGACAGAGGCCGAGCGGAAATGCTGAACTTCGGAAACTCCCACCTCTCCAGGAGAATATGCAGCTGGGTGGCTGCGGCTGAAGATTTCACGGTTGGGTCGCGGGAGCTTCCCTCGCTCCTGGGACGGCACCATGATCGTTAGGTTCCTTTTTTTGTTGTAAGGTTTTTCTTGGGGGTTGATGGAGTAAAACCCACATCCTCAACCCCCAAAACCCTAAACCCTTAAACCCCAGGCCCTTAAAGCGGAAAACCTATATAATTGCTGGGCATGGGTTCTCCAAACCCGAGGATCCTCCATCCCAAAGCCACCCGAAAAGCTTGAAATTCAGATCCATCACTTTGAGACGACTGCAGATGGTTTCGAATCTAGAGGTTCAGGTCGTCCTTTGCTTGCGGTTTTTTTTAGGGCTTAGAGTGCCTGGTCTAGGGTTTAAGGGTTCTCGGGCTCGGGGTTTAGGACCTTAGGATTTGGGGGCTTACCATGGTACAGGGCTTCAAGTCTGGCGAAAATTGGTTCTACAACCCCATGCGCAAGAGCTCCAACTTCCGATGTAGTACGGAGGCCTGAGGAATTTATTATCAGATTTATTTAGGACCCTAAAGGAAATCGACTAGGACCAAACCAAAGTAATTACTCGCAGGAATTCAAGATGTTCGGAAAACACTACTTTCAAAAGGACAGCTCCTAAAGACTGTTCAGAATGGCTCAACGACCGGTCCAAGCCTTTCAATTCCATCAACCTACAAGCCTGAATCGCAACCCTAAACCTCACTAAAACCTCACAAAGGCCTATAAACATTTTACAAAAAGCCCTCTTGAAAAAGCTGAGCAGCTGCAAGGGAGCACGACCCCGTAGCCAAGAGCATCGTCGGGTGCATTGACGTCATGGCCGGGCCGTGGGCGAATCAAAAGGCGCAGGACTTCTGGGAAACTTCAGTGGTTGAGGGCTTCTGGTTCAGGGTTACTTAGGGTTTAGGGTTGAGGGCTTCTGGTTCAGGGTTTAATTTAGGGTTTAGGGTTTAGGGCTTCTGGTTCAGGTTTTAAGGTTTAGTTTAGGGTTTGTGGTTTAGGGTTCTGTTTAAGGTCAGGATTCAGAGTTTGGGGTGTAGTGGGTTGCGATACCACGGGGGCAACCGCCCACACCATTTGCTGTCAGGGTTTGGGGCACAGGGCTTCCACCACCGAATGCACAGTGTCGTTCCTGTGACGGAACCATCTCTTGGTGGCCTTTACCCTACTGGTCGCCTTTGCCTTTGCTGGCCCCTTGTCCGGAAGGGCCGTCCGGGTTTAAGTGCCTCCTTGCTAGTTACGCTAGTTTCAGCCTTGCAAGTTTCAACCGTCGAGGTGTCGGTTGTCGTGCGTTACCGTTTTTCTAGGGTATCTTCGGGAAACCCAAATCGAGTCGAAGGCTCCATCCCTTGCGCCAATACCCAATAAAGCCTTAGCCTGAACATGCTCGAGCCATGCTTGTGGTAAGCCTCTCAGCAACGCTTACGGCCACTGACCGTTCCTTCGCAGGACTATTCGAAACTCCTTCTGCCCCACGAGGTTCCACTTCTTTGCGGCTTCCAGGGTTTCGGGCTGCTGGGGTTAATTGATGTGGAGGCGGCTTTACATTCGTTCCCAGCTTGAATCATATGTTACCCGTTTGGTTCGGTAGACGTGGGGCTTGGGTTGACTTGGGTCCTGGATGGACTTGACTAACTCAGAAGGGTTTTGGAAGGCCGGAAGGCCTGGGTTGGCTGAATTTGACTAGGTCAGAAGGGTTTCGGGGGGGTTCGAGGGTTTGCTGGGTTGGCTTGAGGCCTGCGTGGAGTTTTGGGGGGTGCGAGGGAAATAGCCGGCCGGAAAAAGCGCTTTACCGAATTTGCCCCAAAGTTCTCCAAGCACCTTTAAGCACAAACGTATTGCAGACTCGCACTTAAGTTCGGGGTGTAAGGTTTGAAGCTTTTGTGCACCAATGCTTTGTTCCAGATGCTCGGTCCGATTTATCAAATATTGTAGGGGGGTCGGACTGATATGTAATAGATAGTCATAGTATCCCCCTAGCCTATGCTTCTGAACATGAATGTATTTTCTTACACCCCAGAACCCTATTCAAACTGTTAAGACCCGTAGGACAGCATGCCTCCAATCCGAATTCTAGATATTGGGTCCCGTGTCTTCTACTCCAGCTCTCAGTAGGGCCGCGTAGGCTTCGTTTCTAATCGGGACGCGCACGAATGCCAGGGTCTTAGCAACCCTTATTAGCCTTAACCCCCAACCCTCCAGTCGTAAATGCCTTGAGCTCTAAAATCCGAATCCTACACCCTAGAACCGAAAAAGAAATGTTAAACCTAAACCCATAAACGGCCCACGAAACGTAGGATTTGTTCAAGGCGCTGTTGGATTTCCTGGCCATGCCAGCACCCGACATTCTCCTGCGTTGGGTGCCTCTCCTTGTCATCTAACTTGGGAGTGTCATGTCCCTCAAAATCCTCAATGCCTTCAGCAAAGTAATTCGACAAGAGTTTTCGGGTACATTATTACTACTGGGGACTATGAAGGCATGATAAGACCTATGACCGCCAGCATCATCAGCATCATCACCCGTGGATAACAGCTATCGTCTTCATCATCAGTTGTCGGCATGGCATAAGTCTGGTTCACCGTCATCAGCGGCATCATCATCAGCATCACCACCACAATCATCATCGTCACCCGGTTCATCATCATCAGATTCACTATTGATGTCTTAGTTATCCAAGGTTTTGGGGCTTTTTGGATAAGGGTTTTCAAGACCAGGGTTCTGGCTCCCAGAAGTTCCTGGTGCGACGGGTCATGTTTCAGTGGCCTTGGCAAACAAGATCCGGTCGTTACGTGGCCACATGTGGGCCCGAACCCTTTCGGAAGCCAAGCGTGGAAGTTTTGCACTAAAAGCCTCACCTGCCACCACAAGCTTCAAGTAACTTGCGTGAAGCAAGTTCCGATCCCACCCCTACAAGAGTCGGCGGTTGTAATCTGCCAACGAAGGTATCATAGAGCCGAAAACATCTGAGCGCCCGAACAGATTTAAGTTGTCTAAGCTCGAAGCCCTAAACCTTGAAGCCTTGAACTACCGCGAACACGAAGCTCCAAATCCTTAGCGAAGGTCAACTTTCAGTTGACTGGCGTTCCGGCTGGACAAGGTGGAACTGGGAGGGTACCTTACTTAATCTGTGTTCTTGTTAACGAAGTCAGTTTGCGTTGCCATAATAGGGTCTGTAGTACATAATACGGTTTCTTTATCATGGTAATTTAATCCCTTAACAAGAACCCAAACATGGGTGTGGAGGCTTTGAGTTATAGTGGGTGAGTACCACGTGGCCAGAGCCCCACCAAGGGCAGCTACAATGAGGCAGCGGCTGTCTGCGATGAATATTAGGAGACATTCGATGCTGTAGCGCGTTTTGCTATGATTTGCGCTGGTCAGCATCATGCAAAGTCAAGGGTCATTTTTAGGCTTAGAGGGCACATGCTCACGGTGTAACACAGTGTCAAGGTAGGGTTTTGCACTTGGGTCTTTGCTGGTCTTTGCAGCTGCATTCACCAAGCCAGCATCACCACGCGCCGATCGTGAATTGACAGTCTTCAGTACGTATTTAGTACTTTCCTATGCTTCAACCATATGTATACTAACCCTAAATCCGAAAGCCTATACACAAAGCCCTCAAGCATACATTCATAAAGAAGGAACATCAGCCAAAAGCCGAAAGCCAAGCTCATCTTCAGGCCCCGCACGCGACGCGTGTTGCGGACGCAAAAAACCGACACCTCAAAAATGTTGGAGGGTTTGGGGTTGAGGATTTTTTTTTTTTGGGGGGGGTGGGTTTTAGGGGTTTGGGGGTTTTAGGTTCACTGTCGTAAACAAATTCTGACACCTAGACCTCGCACCTGGGATCCGATACTTCCTAAACCCTGAGCTCCCATCCGAAACAACTCTCTTCTTACCTTTGGTTAGTGGGGAATGGAGGAATGGGGTACAAGTATAACTACTATTACTACCATTCTTCCATCCCCTAACAACCGAAGGTAAGTCTTAAGCTCTGGATGCTAAAGCCTGCACTGTAGGGGACCCCTCCGTAAGTCAACCCTTTCAAGCACCCCTACTCAAGGCCCGTGTTTTATCCAAAGCCCTCCTGGCGGGATGCAGGTGCCACGCTCGAAAGCCTCGATGACTTAGCAGGTCTCCGGGCAACAGTTTAGAGGGTTTAGGGTCTATGGGTTAGTGTTCAGGGTTTAGGGCTTAGTGCTTGCCTCTAGCCGAAAAGGCCTACCATTTTCGGGCTCCTGATTATGGTTTCTCTATTTGTATACAGTTCCGTAAAGAAGGTAGGTCTTTTAGGGTGTCGGGATCAGGGCCGAGGGTTTGGGGTTCAAGAGCTAGGGTCAGACAGGGTGGGAGGGAGCTTTCAAGCGGAGTCTTGAAGGGGAGCACGATCAAGGAAAGCAAGTCAGTTTCTCTTCCTGCAAAAGGCGTCATTAGCAGAAGTTGGCGAACTCGTTTGCGGTTTTACTTGCAGAAGCTACTTCCCAAACTTTTTCCAAGAAAATCTGAAATCTGAATTTGAACGGCTCTCGAAGTTCGAACTTATTCAATACCTGGCTGCATTAGCAAGTTTTCTGGTTTTGATCAATCTGCGACTTCCATTTTCGGGCGATGCAGCTGGTTGATGAGCTTGATGCAGGTTTTTCTCATGAACCCCCAGCCCCAAAGGAAGCGAGATGCTCCTTGAGATCTTGTCACGGGTGGCTGCGGATGTGCTCCCTCTGCAGGCCGAAGAGCAGGCCAGACAGACCAGGATGTTCTGATGTTTGGATGAGGGTCTGGGGTTTATTGAAACAGTTAAACAAAGGTTTAGGGTTTGGGGTATATGGCTTCAGGTGTTTAGGCGTTCAGGCTTCGGTGGTTCGGGTAGGCTCGTATATGGGATTGGGTGGGTGGGGGGATCGTTGGTCCAGTGCCGTGAACAATTTTTTCGACCCTCAGAGGATCTAAGAAATAGAAAATGTAAGTTGAAACCCTTCCCACCCAGAACAGCCGGCAACACGACAAGCCACGGTACGTATGTATCAATGTATGCACGTATGTATGCATGTATGTATTTTAGTGTGTAAATACATATATGTCTATATATACATATATATATATATATATATATATATACATATATATATAACTATATGTGTATATGTATATATATGTATGTATGTACGTATCTGTGTGTGTGAGAGAGAGAGTTTCATGTCCTACCACTATACCTTGAACCCTCAATAAATCGTGGGTTGATGCAGAGTGTTTTTCACGGGTTCCAGTGTCCCAAGGGATAAGGTGGAGTTTGGACAAGTCGGCCAGAACCGCCAGCATAGAGAAATGTGGGGTTAAGGGTCTGTAGGGTGGTCTTAACTTGAATGACGCAACCTCATGTAGATTGCAGGCTTCGAGCCCTAAACCCCGAAACCCTTAACCCTTCACCCCTAGCCCTAGCCCTCAGATCTTGGAGGCGGCCCTGCGCCAAGCACACAATCCCAGCACCACAGAGACTGCCACGCGACGCTTGGTTGTGGCGGCGCCTCGATAGAATTCACGAAGTCAAGGGTTGAAGCACCCAGAAACGTGGAAAAAGCAGTAAAACCAGTAATAGCATAAATGATAGAAAGAGTAGAAATTCAAGTATATGATATAGTTCACCGAAGCCTCGGACGTCCATAAATAATCTACACTTGTTTCTGAGATCATCAAGTCAGGCTTGGCATTGTAGGCTGTACTGTTCAGCGCTGGGGCAGCTGGAGTTCCCAGGTCCGAAATACTTCTTGATGGTCACAGGTAAACTTTGTCACTTGGGGTTCAGGATTTATGGTCTTAGCGGTTTGGGTTTGTTTCGGCTTGTCGGGATTAGGGTTTAGGATTCAGGAGTTGAGTTCAAGCTGGAACCCAGCAATCCAGTATTTCGACAACTGGAGCCCAATAGAGCAGCTGATAACTAAGCGGGCATTCAGTGCCGATTGGCGGCGAGCCTGTGGCTGTCGTCTACCGGATTCGTGAGGGTTTAGGATGCTGTTTCACCAGTTAGCATGCAGTTTCACCAGATGCTCGGTGATGCTCGCTGGGCTGTGTTCACTGATGCCATTTTGTTTTCTTTTGTTTTTGGTTGCATGTTTTTTTTCAGCCTTTTGCTTTGGTATTGCAGTGTTCGTGGCGGTTTAGGATGCTCACTGAGGCTCGCCTTCTGCTCACTGTTGCCTTTTTTTGATTTTGTAGTGGTATTCTAGCTAGGTCCGCCGACTTTTGCAGTAACAATTTGTTAGAGTGCTTTCGCCTTTCGCTGTTATTTTATTGGTTTGGTTCAGGGCACCCGAACCCTTTTGGTCCAACAGTCGGCTTCACTGCAGCTGCCCTGCGAGTGCTCTGCGTCCGTAACCCGTAGGTACTCCTTCCCCGGCGGCCCTGCTTTGAAAGTGCATGCCCCGCCCGGTGGCTCATGTAGGAGGTAGCACTTCAGACGGCAGACGCATGCGTGACATGGCAGCACGTAGGCGGTACACGGTACACGTGGCAACAATGTAACAAGCAACAAGCAGGCAGCGTTGAAGAGCAATTGGCAGTCAGGTTATTAGGTAGCAGGTCTCAGGTCTCAGGCAGAAATTCAAGGCAGCCGAGGCCTCAGATTGTTCCGCGTGCAGTGCAGTTTCTTCCTTTTTCGATGCGGCATTTGTTGATTGCATCAGTCGAGCAAACTTCTACAGATTTGTTGCTGGAGCGACCAGGAAGTGTCGGCTTAGTCTTGCTTCTGTAAGGGCACCACCAGGAGTGGAGCCTGCGACAGCCATGGCCGCTTTACCGGGAATGATTGTTGCTCCGGCAACGTTTCCGACTGGACAGCAGCTGCTGCAGCAGCAACTGTCGCTCCCCATCATCGCGGAGTCTCGACTTAATGAATTAATTTCGTGTGTGACAATCTCTTTCAGTTCTCGCTCGAGTGTTTGTAAACTGTGCAATCAAGACCAGAACGGCACGCTTTGGTTGCAGCCGGTGGCGTCACGGCTCAATTCCATGCTGTTCATGTAAGGTGTTTCTTGTTTGCAGTACATTGTCATGTTCACCGATGTTCTTCGTTGGAAAATGTCTTTTCCATCTGAGGTCGCTCCTCCTGTGGGGGGACATATCGTGACATTCACCCCCATGTGTCTCTATGCAAACATTCGTGTGGTTGTTGACTCCACGCTAGCTTGTTTTCCGTGAATGAATCCAAGGCTAACCCTGCAGCAAAGGGTTTCACGTGGTGGCGGCTGAGGCGTGTTGTTCCCAACTATACTCAAAAAGGTTTGAGGATTCAAGTAGCAGGAGACTCGCATATGATGCACACGCATTGGAGATATGGCAAACAGAAAACCTATAAGTGAATATGCGCTGGAACTAGGATGGGTCGAACACAGCCACACGGAATCGCCGATTATCACGGGATCGCTCCGGCTCCGAAATTTTGGGCGTGGCTCTGCCTGTGTTTCACACGCCAGCCACGCGTGGGTAGGCGCGGGCAAAGCACAGAAGGCTTGGCCGGGCCGCTTCGCACGGGACTGTGGCGAGCACACGATTTGGGTGGGTGCGTCTTCTGGGTTTGGCCTCAAGATTTCGTGGCTTCGAATGAACTCATAAGGCTTTACTTAGGGGTACTTAGAAAAGTATTCTTAATTTTTGGTTATCATAATCCCTAAGAAACTGCTGAAATTATGAATTTTCTAGGGTTCTAAGTTCAGTATAGTTTAATATAGGTGTCCTTAACATTACTGTAATGCCCCGTTGTGGCCCCGATGTAGCTACAGTATGAGGCATCTCCAAACCCCATCCTACAAAGGAAAGCCCCGGCCCCTGTCATAAGCTCCGCCAGGAGGTCAGCAGCTTGGCTCGTGTGGCAACCGACCTTAGTCCTACAACGATAGAGGTCTGAATGATAGGTAATAGCATTCCCTCATCCCCTTCTGCAGTAGACCCTGCAGAAGAATAAATCAGAATCTACTCCAAACCAAGACCCTTGTCCAATTATTCAGGCCCCTAAATCTAAACGCATTTCCCATTTCCCCATAAGAGGACCGGCTCTAAACCCTATCCCCCTAAAACCCTAACCTCTAAACCCTAAACCCCTAAACCCTAAACCTGTAAACCGTAAACCCATGAGGCTTGAGACCCCAACCTCCCGATCCTGAGCCCCTGTGAGGAAAACGACACGATTTAGGACTTTAGGGTCCCGGGTTGAGAAAGTAAAAGGGCTTTAGGATTTATGGCTTCAGGGGTTGAGGATCTGGGATAGCAAACCTTCTGTAGCACGGTCAGAACTCTGATCAAACCACAGGAGCAATCTTCATTGAAACTGGAAGCTTGAATGCGTTGTAGCACTATGCCTGACCCCACATCCACAAAATAATGCAACCCTAACCAGAGCCTTAAACCTTGAATAACTCCTGGTATGCTTAAAACAAGTTTTGGGGATCTAGGGCCAAACCCACAAATACATGGTGCACGGACTGGGGCGCGGCCTGGTGCAGATGTTGTGTTCTGATGCATAATGAGCGTAATCTGGTGCACGGCCTGGGGTTTGGGGTGTCTGGTCGAGTCCACCAAGGTGTAGGGGGTTGGTGCGGGACTGGTGCGGGTGTGTGGTTTCGCGCCGCACCCCACCGCGCCCCGTGCAGAGCAGAGGGCAAAAAAAAAAACCGCAGTCGGAACGCGTCGGAACCTGTCAGAACCCGTCGGAACCCGTCGGAGACACCTGTCCCGGCCCGACCACACATCCCGCACCAACCCCTGCACCCACAACCCTGGGTGTGAAAAGCATACCAGGCCCCTCGCAACTTAAACCCCAACCCAAGGCCCTTTTCACCTCCTAAAGGTGGCCAAACGCTGTGCGAGCTACCACATCCTCACCGAGGAGTCGCTGAAGGACGAGCAGACAGACCTGCCCCTCGGCCCCTACTGTGGGAATCAGGGGGACATCAGCCTCATATAGATGTTGTATATGTACATATATAAGTACAATACATATATATGTATATGTATATGTATATGTATATGTATATGTATATGTATATGTATATGTATATGTATATGTATATGTATATGTATATGTATATGTATATGTATATGTGTATGTGTATGTGTATGTGTATGTGTATGTGTATGTGTATGTGTATGTGTATGTGTATATATATATATATATATATATATATATGTATATGTATATGTATATGTATATGTATATGTATATGTATATGTATATGTATATGTGAATGTATATGTAAATGTATATGTATATGTAAATGTATATGTATATGTATATGTATATGTATATGTATATGTATATGTATATGTATTGCATGTACATGCATATGTGTATGACTGTATATGTATATGTGCAGACCAGGAAAACATACTTAGACACACACACATGGACATATAGATCTATATGTATACATATATATATATATATATGCATTCTCCACGTACACATATACTTATAAGTCGCGAAATTACATGCATACTGTACACAGATAGACAAGAGGACAATCAACAAACATAGAGTGTCGTGTCACATTGACATGTGCTCCGACTCCCAAGTGATCAGCAGGGCATCCAGTCCGTAAACCTTTCTGCACGTCTGACCAAATCGTCTCGCAGGGCTGGTATAGGATTCAAGGGTTGCGCGGGCTTGCTGCTTGCAGCTTGTTTAAGACCTCAGTGCTATGCCTGAGTGTCGGATCTGCTCACGAGAGCAATACTTGGAGGTTCATGGGTACTTATAACCGGGTTTATGAGTCCCTGAATATGGCTTATAATTATACTTACCTTACTTATAGACTCACTCATATCTACCCATGAACCTCTAAACATGGTCTCGGGTCCAGGGACCCTCACCGGATCAAGCCTGCAGATGGGGCAAGGAAACGTAAAAAGCGGTATCCCCAGCAACTAACGCGGTACAACAGCTGTCGGAACAACTAGCAGTCAGCATCATGGTTACAGTTTCAATACGACCAAGACCCTATTCTATTCAGGCACCTAGATGACTGGCCGGTTCGGGAGATTTTGAAATTCCCGACATTGCCTAGGATGGCTGCTTTTCTCGCGGAGCTGCTGGTGATCATCTCGGGAGTTTGGGGTTTCAGCTTGGGGTTAAGGTTGTGCGGCACCGTACTTGGGTGACTGCGATTCAGGGTTTGAGAGATCTCCTTTAGGGTGTTTAGGTTCAATGGCCGATTGGATCAAGCGAGTGTGGTTCGCGGGGTTGTTCTTTGCTGGAAGCCTCAGCAGTGCCTCAGCACAGGTTCAAAGCATGTCATTGTCATCAGCACAGGCACCCTGCTATTTCAGTTCGCTCGTTCGAAACCCTCCTCTCTAAACCCCAAACTCGAAACCCGAAACTCCAAATAGTAAACTTTGGATTGAAATCCTAATTTTCCGTTGTTATCTCGGTTGAATTTCTGAACCCTGCCAAAAATGCAGGACCCCCACGACCGCCAAGCCCACATGCTCCGACTCATCAAGCAGGTCCACCGCCCTACGCTCCCTGCGGGGCCAGACACCCAGATCCGGCAGCACATGAGCAGCCTCTCTGCGATCGTCCTTGAGGCGGAAAGTCATGGCTTTTGGTGGATTTTTAAAGGGTGTTCTGGCGTTTCTGGTGCTTGGATGGTTTTGTGGGAAGGGTTCAGGAATTTCTCGAGGCACGCCGCAGCTTCTGAATGCGCAGGCTTGGGGGGCTTCTGGCAAGGCTGATCACCCTCAGCCTGGGTGGGTTTTCGAGAATTTAAGCCTACTGTTGCAGGCCTTAGAGTCAGATTTTTGTCCTGTTGAGACTCACACCCCTAAACCCTAAACCCTCAACCTCTTAGACCGTGCGCCAAGAGGCCGCCAAGACGGAGCCCGGGGGCCTCCAAGAGCTCTGCGCCTACCTCAAGGAGCGGCATGCAGAGATTCAGCTCCCTGGAGAAAGTGCGGGGGCGGGGGGGGAGGCCTTTAGTTTAGGGGATGAGGTTTAGGGTTTTGGCAAACCGGGTCAAGTTTGGTGGCTGAAGGGCATTGAGAGCTGTAGCGCTACAGAGCAGCTGTCTAGCTCACGGCAGCACGCCATTCGATCTCCGTCCGTCGCACGTTCTCTGTGAACCCTAAACCTTGACGCCCAGAACCTGACCTAAGCCCTAAGCCCTAAATCCCTAAAGCCGCAAGACCCGCAACCGCTTGCTTCTCACGTGAGGTCTTCCCTACGGTCTTTGCAAGGGCAGCGGCAGATCATGGAGACTGTGAACACAAAGATGAGGACGCCCGGGGGGGGAATTGTCGGGCTTAGCGTTCAAGATGAAGTCCGAAAGGAATCGCTGAACCCTAAACTCTGAACTCGATGGTAGAGGTTTGTGGAAGTCGTGGGCATTTTCCAGTGATCAGTAGCATGTCTCTGGGTGAATATTTCTTTGTGGCTATTTGGGATACTTGCTATTTGCCCCTCTGTTTTGCAGAAAACTGACTATACATGTCTAAATATTTACTGGAGCATTTGAACTACGGTTGATAAGGATCCTAAACTATGGAAATTATGGTATATTCCTTATTATGGGTCATGCAGAATTTATATCATCAACCGTACGACCCAGTCCCAGTCTAGACAGCAACAAATGTCCCCAAGGTCGGTACTCAACTCACGATTCGTTTAGGGTTTAGGGCTTTGGGTCAAGTTTATGGCTTAGGGTAGTTTGGTGTTGTGTCGGGACGAAGTACGTAATTCAGATTGCTTCCTTGGCATCTGCAGGATCTGGGTGTCAGGCCGCGAGATCCAACACCAACTCCTACACAGACCCTTAAACCCGAAACCTTTTGAATCCAAGCCAAAACCCTAAACCGAAGCCCTTAAGCCCCAGAGTCTTAGCCCAACACCTTTAAACCCAACCCAAAACCCTAAACCCAAAACCCCTAAGCCCAAAACCCCAAGATGCTTTTTTGCAGCCCCTGAGCCGCGAGATTCAAAGTGAGCCCTTACACCCCCCCAGGCGCTCCCAGCTTCCTGAGATGGAAACAGGATTTAGGGTTTACAGTAGGGGTTTGGAGTTTAGGGCTTAGGGTTTAGGGGAAAAATCTCAAAGGAGATTTGTGGTCCTAACCATACTTGAGAACATACCGATATACGATGATGAACCTCCGAACCCTGCTGAGATTATCGAGACCCCCACACTAGATTCACTACGTCGTAGCATTCCCTGACCGTACATACTGTCCGCCAGTCTCGTTTGTGGGCCCATGTCTGCTGGTACATACTCGTAACATTCCATGAAGTTTTGGGTTTAGGGGTTCAGGGTTTGGAGTACATTGAAATGCCCGGTGCATCGAAACCCAGAGCACTCCACATCTGTTGCCGGCCCCCTGGCAAGTCCTTCGGCAAACCAATCAGGTTGTTGAAGTGCATCTTTCTGAACAACCGCTAAAAGTGCCTGAGATCTTCTTAGCACCCAAACCCTAAGTCCTAGAAGTACTACTGTACAATAGAAGTACGGTAGTACAGTAGCAGTAGTACAATAGTAGTACAGAGCTGAACATCCAACCGCATCGGAGGGCTTTTGCTCTGAAGATGCTGGTGCAGCGATCCAAAGGTCTCCTGGCTTCAACTATGAAGGATTCAGATAAGGGGGCCTTTCGGAAGTGTGGGGGGTGGTTCCTTAGTATAACTATAGTATAATGGGCCCCAAAGCCCTATTCTAATTATCAAGGTTTCTGGGGGTGAGGGGTGTGGGTTTAAGTTTGGCGGGGTGCACAGACTCCAAACGAGCTTGTGGCTTCAAGCATGCAGAGGACTGGGTAGAAGTGATCTGACTGGTAGTTTAGGGGCCTTGATAACTAGAGCAGGGCTTGGGGGGTATAGTACAGTATACTATAACTACAATATATCTCAGCTGCACTTAGATCGCTAAAGGTTACAATCGGATGTGGATCTAGCATGTCGGTTTGAGCTGATTGTGTTTTGAGGCCGTAATATTCAGGGGCCTATCAATCCAAATCCGAAAACCTGAAGTCACAAGACTCCTTAAAGCTTCAAAGACCTGCAAACACGAAGGGATCTCAGTCCATCATCGCCCGAAACGATCTCCAAGGGGAGCCATGCAACATGCTGGAGCTCGCGAAAAAGGTCAGGAGTGCGGAAGTTCGCGGAGACATGATCTCTGGAGATCGAATCAAGGCAACCGGCTCGGGGTTTAAGGTATAGCGTTGAGTGTTTAGGGGTTTGGGGGTTCAGGGGTTTAGGGTTTAGGGAATTGGGGGTTTAGGGGTTTAGGGTTTAGGGGTTTGGGGGTTACTTCAACCACCCCAAAATGAGTAAACTAATGGCCCAAAACCAATAAACGGCTTGTAGTCTCCATACTTTGGGGGTCTAGGGGGGTTTACTTGGAGGTTCATGGGTAGTTATAAGGGGGTTATAAGTCTCCTAACATGGGTTATAGTTACATATAACCCCCACTTATACCAACCATGAACCTCCAAGTAGGGTGTAGCTCTCAGATTCGGGACTGACCTTTTTTGAGTGGATATCTCCGTAAGCCTTAGACGAGCCGGCCGCCGGATTGTTCAGGAGTCAGGGCTAAGTTTAGCGGATAGGGTTTTAGGGTTCAGGGGTTTAGGGTTTTGGGGTTAGGGTTTTGGGGTTTTGGGGTTTGGGTGTAGGGGTTTAGGGGTTTGGGGTTTAGGGGGGTGTTTAGAGTTCAGGGTTCAGGTTAGCTGCTTATACAGTCACAACACAGGAGCCACGGCGAGGCGGCGGTTACAAGGAACTCGCTCGAGGATTCAAGCCTCTTCATGCAACTTCTTTTGCCTGCCAGCTTACTATGGGGGACCTAAAGACTTAATAATTTACCGTTACTATTTTGGGGCATCCGTATTAGAAGTATGGTAATTAAATGATCACCCAACACACTATTCTAATCACTAAGGCCTCTATATCATTCGTCCTTGATCAAGGCATCCTGGGTCTGCCACCCGGGCATCCTTTCGAACCCGAATTCCCAGAGCTTAGACTCAGAGCTGTTGCTCAAGCGAGTGCTGCCTGCGATTCCTTTCTAAACCTTTTTGACCCTAACTCTAAATCCAAAGCCCCAAAAACCCGAAGCCCCAAACCCGAAACCCTGAACGAGCGTATCACATCAGGAATCCTTCAGTCCCCACACTTCAGGGCTCGGGTTTAGGGTTTAGGGTTTTTTTCAATCACAGCTTGGCCAGCCAGGCTCTCATCGTCAAAGAGGCGAAGAGGCCCGCCCTGTGGGGTTTAGGCTGTAGAGGTTAAGGTCTTCCTTTCGATTGCTGCCATCAGTTGTTGCAACTTAGTCCTTATCACTTATACCCTGGCCTCCAAACCACTGTAGCGCCTTATTACAGCACCTACAGGCAGACAGAAAACGTTGGTCATGGTGCTCTGTGCTAGCCATGGAGGCCCCAATAACTATAGATGCTCAACTTTTACAGATGCCTGAAAGAACCTGAAAAACACGCCTTCAACAGCTGTTGAAACATTTCAGGAACTTTTACGGAACCCTCAACGAGCATAGAAATTCCCCTCAACGCCGCAGCCCTTAATCCCTTCTTCAACCCTATACCCTAAACCCCTAAGCCCCTAAACCCCTAACCCCTAAACCCTATACCCTAAGCCCTACACCCCTAAACCCCTAAACCGTAATGCCTTCTTCAACCCTTAAGGAAACTTTGCGGCCCCAGCCAGGCTAGCGGCCGACGAAGGCAGCCAAGGCCAGGTAAGGTTGGGGTTTTAAAAACCAGATAGGGCTTTTAGGCTGTATACGTTGTAGGGCTTGGGGGTTTAGAGTTTCGGGGTGTCGGGCTTGGGATAATGGGCATTCTACGTTTTTGTTTTGCTGTAGAGTTTACAACGCTCATTATCCGCAGTTTGGCCCTTTCGTGAAGCATATCGAGGGCCACCTTGAGGGTTTCGGGTTGTGCGGTGACTGCCAACTTCAGGTCCCAGCGCCTACACTGAACATGCGCGGCTGTCTTGTTCGCAGGTTTCAGAAATCTTGATGTCTCTATGCTGCTCTTAGATGTGCCTATTGGAGACAAGCTTCAGAGACCTTGTGATGAACATGCGTCCCGGATCAGATGAAAGTAGTTGGTGTTCTTCATGCTCTGGACAGGAGCCGCTGGACGCAATTCCGAAATGGCGGCTTGGTAGCGGATAACTTCGGGACTGTAAGTCAAGCTCAGTCGTGCCCGAGGGTGCAACATACCTTAGAGACAGATTTCTGAAAATAAGCGAGAGTGGGCACCTGGCTGACGTGCTCCAGAACCCTTAAACCTGACGGTCTCCATTGTAGTTCCATTTTGGGTTTAACCAGTTTTATGTTGGAGATCCGGGCTTCTATCAGGTAACCCCCCAACATGAATTGCAATGGACACTGCATGTAGTTTATAGCCAACTGCAGATACTGGGTCGCTTCGATAACTCTTATCCTTGACTGCAGCTGCCTTCAATAATTAATAGGAAGAATATAGTTTCTGTAGGATTTGGTGGTATATGATAGTATAATCTGCTTGTTCTCGGTGCTCCTGGGGTTCAGTTGCTGTGGCTCTCCGCAGAGGCTTTGAAATCGGTTCCGCTACGATGTTGTAGGATCTAGTGTTGAGGGTTTGGGGTTGAGGGCTTGGCGTTTAGGGTTTGGGGTTTAGGGGTTGTGGGTCGGGGGTCAGGATTGAAGCTCCCAGGCACTGGATACTGCACTCCAGGCCCTCACCAGCCCATCGTCCCAATGGCTCATCATTCCAACAGCCCTCCGCTCTCCGCCGAATGGTAACGACATGATGCGGGTAAAAAGCGTAGCATCGGCAAGTACACTGCCTCAGAGTTGATAACATGACTGGTGATGTGCCGTCCACTCCCTGTGCAGTTCCAGTCTAATCCCTGCGCCAAAGCTATATACGTACCAAAGGCGCCTACAGCCTCAACCCAACCGGATATCCCGCAACACCAGAATCACGGAGACACAGACCAATCTATCTCGACCAAGCCGCAAAAGCTACCCGGCTACCCCAAGGCGATAAGTATGGAGAAGAGCTCCGTCCAGGCGTGCCCGAGTGGGTCATCATCGCATGAATTAGCTTCAGAATCACACAGTTTCTAAGCAAGTAACGAACAGTAAACCCTGGACCCTATGCTCGACTCAGAATCAAGCAAGCAGGCTTTGGAACCGACGCACCGTAGTTTCTTGTTTGTCGTTGAAGGGCACTTTCTTTTTCCTTGCGCGTGCATTTTAGCTATAAGGCTCCTGGTTTGTGATTAATGCATATCCTGGTCCTGACGAACGTGCGTCAGTGTGACGAGCGTGCGTGAGCTTGCGTGCCTTTTTGCCATGGGGGTACTGCGTTACTGAAACACCTGAGCAGCTTTCTGGTGGTTCAGCATGTTGGATGTTTCGGTTTAGTGGCTTGTGGTTCCTAATGCAAGGTTTAGGATTTCAGCTTCACCACAGCGCTAAATAGTGTATAGACAAGCATGTGTACCTCTACCTTGGAAGCTGATCGGTTCGGGAATTCTTGGGCTGGGCGGATGTCGTTGGTTATTGTCCGTTTGTTGCTTGCAAAGACATTAGTTGATTCCAGTACACTGGCCCCCATAACATCCGGTAGCCCCCAACTCCGAAGCTGCTACGTCCCTGGCAGGAGTTGCTCAGGAGGAGCATGAGCAGCATGAGGGACACGCAGCTTGGCTAAGGGACCACAGCATCGTGAAGATCAGCAGTTGAGATACTATGTTTCCCTTGTTCCGGGCCTTTGCCACGTAGCCCGCGTCTGGTCACCTCCCCAACAGGAACATCTCTAGACGGCACCCACAAGAGAATCAAGTCCAGCTCAGTGCGGTGTTTTAGAAATCCAGAGCCCGAAGCCTTAGTCCCTGAACCCTAAACCCTGTGCAGCAATGATAAGAAAAGGTTCCGTCACTATGCGCGCGGCACTCTCTCTGGCATAGAGCTTCTTGTCTGCTTTGGTTTAGGAGAGTTAGGGTTCAGGGCTTGGGGCTTAGGGTCACTAGGTGTGTCTGGCTTTGGATTCGGGTTGCGAGGTTTAGAAGTCAGCTTAGAGTCGCAGACTAGCTTCACTGCGTCCATCTGCGTTTGACTCGCTGAACCTCAGAGACAGACAGCGGAATCCCTGAAGCTCAAGCACCAAGACCACCACAACTCTAGCTCCAACAAACAGAGACAAGAGATCAGCAAGTAAACCATGGAAGGGTTCACGGGCTCCAGCAATATGTGCTTGCCCACCGGTACCACAAGAGGAAAGTCGCGTGCCCAAGGCATGTGACTATTTGGGCCCTTGATCAGCCCCGGAATCCCTAAGACTTTGAGTAACTGCGAACCTCAGCTCTAAACCCCAATACCCTATCGACCCACATGCGAACCTGCACCCTAAGCCCTACGACACTCCGACAACCCGAAGTGCGACCGTGAACCGCAAGCCCAAATCCGAACCGGAGATCTGACTCTAAACCTGGACGAAACCCCCCGCGAGCAGGACCGCCCCGAAAGAAGCGTCAAAGGGACGGAGGACCGATGGGTTTTCGGAGTTTCGTAAGCCATAAGGGTTTGGGGTTTAGTGTCAGGCGGAGAGGTCATAATTGGAGTAGGGTCTTGGTGTATCATATTTTTACTATTACGATGTCGAGACCGTCAGGGAATGACAGTATGATTACTTAAGCAGTCACCGACTAGGGCTGGAGGGTGTACGGTTAGTGTTCAGAGTTCAGGATTTCGAATCCCGAGACCCGAAGGCCAAGTACAGGCAGCCCAACAAAACTTCTAGCATTTAGCTTCCACCCTGGCATTGAGGGCCCTTCCCGTTGTTCATGGCCTGCAAACAACATCATTGCTTAGAGCAAGAGAGCAACATGTCAGTTGTAGTCAGCAGTATCTTCTTGGGTAACTTCTAAGTTCATGACTGTGATAACAAGAGGACGACGCAAGATAGCATGTAGAAAATGCTGCTGCTATGATGCTGCTGCTGATGATGATGCTGAGGCTGGTGAGGACCAGATGCACACAAGTGTCATGTCTTGCTCCATGGCAATACGGGCTGTTCACTCCCTGAGGAGGCCCCACATGAAACTTCTTCAGCACCGGAAGCCCAGAAGTAGAATCGGACCGTCGCCCTGCACTCTCGTGCCTTTTGGAAAGCCCTCCACAGTATGAACGTCTTGGGGCCATCGTTCTAGTGCCACCATCGAGCAAGCCCTAAACCGACACCTGCCCACCTTCGACAGGGGCAGCCGTGGGTCTATCTCTGGCGAAGGGGGTCAGGTGCTGTGGCTATTTCTGGAAGGGTGAGTGCTCCTGCTTTCATACGGGGGTCAGAATGTGGTCATAGTTGTCCCTATGAGTCCCTACATAAGTATAGCAAACTAGTTTTAATGTTAGCCTGGTCTGAGGCCCCGAAAGAATTAGGGTCTTTGGGGGGGCCTGTTCCTCAGACGTCGGTATGTAGTTGTTTTGGGGTTAAACAAATCGGAGTTTTCGAGTTTGGGGTCATTCCATCTTGATCCTCAGAGCTTCCGTAAGTGTGTCTTGAAAGCCTCAACCTCAATCCTAATCACTGATTCTCGGTTCAGGGTTTAGGGTTTAGGGATGTCTCGTGGCACAGGGGAATGCGAGTTCGCGTCCTCTCCACTGCCTTCCGGACTTCAAGTTCCTTCTGCAGACCCCACTCAACAGATCACGGGGCTTCCGGCTTCGTAACTAAGCTCCTAGTTACTGCAAGTACGTATCCAGCCTCAAGGGCCAAGGGGCGATTCTTTCAGATCTTTACGAGCCAGGTGTTTAAACGCAGCTAGATAGAGGAGCTCATAAACCCTTGGCTTGCAATGCCCCAAAGCCGTCGTCTGGACTCATGGAACCTACACTGCATTGCACCCTTCGCGCGAATTTGGCAGGTTCGCATATCATCAGCCCTAAGCCCAATCATGGTCCCAGTCGGTTTGGCTTTGCTGCACAAAGCTTCTCCTCTCTGTTGCGTTGCTCTGCTACCAAAGCCTGGATGATGCGAGGTGCTCGTCGTGTCCCAGCGGAGTTTGATGCGACTGTATCTGGGCTTTGGAGTACCATACTTTAATACTTTTTTCTTAAAGGAACCAGTATAAAAAAAACAAGTTTATACTTTTCTCTCCCTGGTTACTCAAAAGCCCAGGTATCGAGACTGCCGGCTCCATACCACCAAGACTCACGGCTGCAGCCATGCCGACTCTCAGGGCTCGATGTTGGTGAAGGTTACTTATGTAACACTATGTCCTAGGGCTCCTTATCATAGTTACGGTATAGCCCCAAACCCTGCTATGATTACTCTAAGCCTGCTTAGGCCTGGACTTGTAGAAATCGAAGTTTGAATGCTAGTCACTGCGGCAGCGCGGGTTTCTCGAGGCTCTAGCTTTAGCTTCGACGTTCGACAGTGCCGGTGCCTAGAACTTCAGTTGTTTTTCTGTGCAGCTTGTGTGTGGGTGTGTGTGTGTGTGTGCGTGTCTGTGCAGGTTGACTCCTTTGGAGCTGGAGGAGATCTTCAACGAGGCCTGCATGTTTTTCATCTCACTTCTCTTGGAGCTCGGTGCAGACACAGGGGTTTGGGCTTCAGGCTTAATGGTTCAGAGCCTTACAGCTATCAAGTTCCGGAGGTTCACCCTTGACCCTAAACCCTGAAGCCCTAAACCCTGAAGCCTTGAAGCCCTAAACCCTAAACCCTAGAGTTTGTAAGGGTCTTGACTTCAATGCGGGTTGCCAGGGCTTAGAGGATGGGGCCGCGCTGGCGGGTCTTAAACTTCGAAAGCATCCTGAGCAACATACTGGCTTAGGGTTTTGGCCTTTGTGGTTCTGGATTGATGGGCTACGTTGTGTTGTCGGCAGGTCCGGCTGTCCCATGCCATGAACTTCGGGCAAGAGGAGCACTGCTGCAAAAGATTAGGGTGTGTTGCTTTCCAATATCAAGCTTCCACACGACGCTGGAACCCTCAAAGAAAGGAACAAGGTTGCACCCTAACCCTGCTCTTCTTATGACACCGGGCACCTTTGGGAGGTTTATTGTTTCAGGTCAGTGTGAACAACTTAAAGCGCAATCCCACTCTAAACCCTGAGCCATACACCCAAACCCCCACACCCGTCCCCGAAACTGAATAAGGCAGGGGCCGTAAGAATTTAGACTATACTATACTTATAATAAAGACCCCCCCCCAACAAAACCTATTCTAATTTTTGAGGCCCCTGCAGATAGGACCCTTTTAGGAGCCCCTTAACGGAACTCTGTTCTAATTATCAAGGCCCCCACATCACACCCTCCAGGACACCAGTGCCGTACCGCTCTTCGACCAGGGCTTGTCCTTGGAGATGTTCACCGAGGAAACCGCAGGGGGGGGGTTCAGGTTTAGGGATTAAGGTTCAGGGTTTAAGGTCTAAGGTGTAAATTTTAGGGTTTAAGGTTTTGGGCTTAAGATTTTCAGGATGAGGGTTTTAGGGTTTGCGATAGTAGCTGAGCAGGTAACCCTTTACCCTGTGGGGCTTACATAATCCAAAAAAAGGTTAACCTGCTCGGGCAAGGGTACCATCCCCTACGTTACCATGGAGGCTTTTGCTAATTCGACACATGCTGTGGTTGAAACTCCGCACCCCCAAAGAGTGCATCTTCGAGGGACTGCTTCTGCCGTGCAGGGATTCTGGGTGTGAGGTGCGGGATTTCGGGTCTCGAGTTTCGGATGCAGGTTTCACTTTGAGGTTTCTTCGATAAAGATGCTACGGCTTGGGTTCTTTATTCGGGCTTAGGGTCTATAAGGTGTTGAAGATGCTAGGCGTCCTCATATTCCGAAAGTTGTGTTTTGAATTTTTTCATCCTGCCACAGGTTCTGCTCACCATCGCCTGCAGGGCAAAGCTGGAGCTCTTCGCACCTACCGTTCCCTGGGCACACGCAGTATACGAGGTATCGATTTGGGATAATTTCCATTTCCTTATTCATTATTGCTAACCTTGACAAAGAACAGAACCCTAGTCGTAAATAACTTGAGGGTGCAGGCTTTTAGGGCTGATTCAGTTTCCTGTTTTGGCCACCAAGGGACCACCACCAGAGCAAAAAAAGACCACTAGTACAATGAAGGACGAAGCCCTGAACCCTACACCGCGCACCTTGCGGACCCAGGCGTGTGCCGAGAAGCTGGAGTTTCTGATCGAGCACCACCTGTCCATGGTAGGTACACCACGGGATGAGCCGCACAGCTTCAACGAGGGTCCAGAGTCCAGGGCTTCGGGTCTGGGGGATTCGGGGTGTCAGTTTAGATTTTCAGAGATCGCTTGTCTGTCTTTTGGCGGTTAGACTTGGCTTCAAGCTTTGGGGAAGTACACCTATTGATCCTCAACGTCATAAATCTTAAACCTCCAGGCAGTTGTTCATTCTAGGCTTTCCGGGGTGTGTCGAGGTTCCAGGGTTTAGGATTCAGATTACGATGAATGCCAGCTCGAGGCCAGTGAGTGCCAGCGTTTGAGCCTAGGTTCGTTTACGCCCTTATCGTCGACACTTCCCTCGACGAGGTCTTGAACGAGTTCGCGGGAAGGCCTGTAGACAGTCTTCCCGATATCCTAAACAAGCAGCCAAAACGTTCAGCGTCGCAGCACACAGCCCCAGGAACTTATTTTCACATGCAGCCATTCACAGACTGAGCTCTCAGAGAATATAGAGGTCTGACTACATGGTACTGAGAGTTTCCCAGTACATAGTTGCACTGCTACGGACTGGCAGGCTTCGGTCCATCTTCACGGCCTATGCTGGCAGCGCCGTTGCTGCAACTTTTCAGGTGTAGAGAGAACTTGCCCTGAACCCTGAAATTGAAGGACGCTCCAAGATAATCCGTCCTAATCCCTAAAGCCCCTACCCCCTGGAGCCGGGAGATGGGCAGTTCTGATTCTAAGGGTTTCCAGCTTGAAGCAAGCCGTTTCCCCAAGTTTGTTGGAGGTTTATGGTTTGGGATTGGGGTTCTATTGCTTTCGTTTAGGCTTGCAGGGACTTATGGCGTCAGGTTTCGGTTCAGGATCTCTCAAAGGGGGTTTTTGTGGCTTCAGTCATTAGGGTCAGGGTTTAGCGATTGGGCTTGGGGTGTGGGCATTCTGGTTTGCATGCCGGAGCGATTGAAGGTACAGAGGCCGGTGCAGGGGAGGGAGAGCTTTCGATGCAGGTTCTTGTAAACGGTGGCGAGGGCAAGTCTAGGTTATTGTTTGTTGTAGTTTGTTTGTCGCGCAGGTTGAATTCTGAAGATTGCTACAGACGTGTTTTGTGTTCTTGGGACACTCGTTCTTGCTGCTTTCCTGTAGCCCTGGTTTGTAAGCCCATCACCAGATAAGCATGCTTCGGCCATTTGATGCATAGGCCTCAGTTTTCCGAAGAGTTGATCACTTGATAGGTGATGCTGTTCTCCTCGTTCTGCGCTTAGCTTGATTGCCGCCAGAAAATCTGTGTCGTAAGGGTCCATGTATCCATACAGTATATATTCTGCCCCAAAATACTGCTAAAGGAGCCCCTTTTGCTGCCAAAATAGATATGCGAGTTTCCTGGTATAGTACCCTAAATTTTAAATAGTATAGGATCCTTATTACAAGGATCCCAAAGGAAGGTACCCCTAATTTTCGGAAACTCCCATATACGATTACATAGGGAATGTCTAAGTCTAGGTGCCCGGAACGTGGAGCGAGACCGGCGTCGGCACCGGGGAGCCATGGTTGAGGTCACGGCCGTCAGCACACAGAAACAGGCGCAACGCATGAAATAATCATGCTCTGTGTCTGTGCCCCAGGCCTCAATCGAGTTAAAAATTAAAATGTAATTATGAGCAGTGGGCAGAAGTTATGTGTTATCATGAGCAAGATATGAAGCCCTAAACTTCAAGAGCCCTCAACACCTGAGCATGTCCCAGAGCTTAAGCCGAAGCTGTCGAATGATTCCTGATGTTTTGGCAGCTTTTTTGGACTCTTGACCATAACCGAAATCAAAGCTTGTCATGGTTAGTAGGGGCCACGACACTTTTAGTCGCAAGGCCCTTCCCCCGAAGGACCTGGAAACTCAGGGTATTGCGTTGAAGCCTTGAGGTGCGGGACGGAAGGTTGCCCCTCATATGTCTAGTAGAGGGACCTAAATGATTACCCAGATTGTTCCTTAGGGCTCTTTGGTATAACTATACTATAAAGCGGCCCGCGACCTATTCTGACTAAGAAGGTCCTTACAGCGAAGTGAGTGACTGATATCTTTGGGACGAAAAGCCTCCAGAGTTTGAGGACGGGCACGGCCGAACTCCGTTCACCTAGGAGCCTGAATTGTATTTACAAGGAGATCGTAGTACTAGTTATTCCAGCCTCTATATTTCCTAGCAACAGGTCTTTTCTCTCCACCAGAAATCTGGAGCTCAACATACCTACATATACGGCTTATAACAGGTGCCAAGCACCTGACCCAGGAGTTTGTACCACCAGTATGCCTGCACGCCCCAGAAGTCTTCCTCAGACACACGTCGAAACTGACGCTCCATTAGTAGCATCATCAGCGGACTTTGAAAGTAAGGTTAGTAGCACAACTAATAAGTATAACTCTATATTAGCTATTTTTAACCCTGGTTACTGTACCGACTGCACCCGTCCCATGATCCTGGAAGTAGCCAAAAGCCCCGCGTGCACCTCAGCCATGTGCTCAGTCCATGTGCATGTCGCTTGACGCCTTCACGGACATGCATCTGGGCGAAGTTATCGATATCATTTGTTTCCTCGGGGGGGTTCTCAAAGAGAGAAGTTTATAAATCTGCAAAGTACATTCATAAAGCGGGACTCCGCACTTCTGAATGACTTTCAAGCCAGTTCTTCAGGCTTAGTGGCTAGTGTTTAGAGAATTTGCTGCCAAATCGAAACCCCCGAACCCTAAGCCACATACACTGACATACACCCAAGCCGCAAAAGTTCATCTTTGTTTATCGCTGTCGGGTCTTTTGGAGCGAGCTTGTGTTGCTCAATGAGTCGGAGGGATCAACAACTTGATCAACTTTTGCAACCGTTGCAGAACCCGCACCCAACAATTAACGTTTAAAGCTGTACATGGGTGATTGTGGTCCCTTTTTGGGTCCTTATTATAATACGGCACCTAATATTAAGGGTACCCGAAAAGAGACCGTAATTTTGACAACCACCCACATGAGCATGGGGAGATTCAAGACTTACGGGTCCTTTGCGGGTCCTTGTAATACCTATAGTCTCCATTGTAGTTCCTTTTCTGGGCTTAACCAAATATGTAATAAGGATCCTATAAGGTAACCCCAAAATGGAACTACAATGGAGACTACAGGTTTAGGGTTTAGGGTTTAGGGGTACATGATCTTGACACTTAGGGTTGCTTAGGTCTTGCAGTATCTGAAGCTTCCAGCTCCATTGGGGCCAACCCTTGGGTCCATTGTCTCGAGATTAACGGGGTCCTTGCTACCCAGAAGCCCCATAGTAGTTCCTTTTCGGGATTACCTCATAAGATTCTAAACATGAACCCCAAAAAAGGAACTACTTTGGGGCCTTAGGATAGGGGCTACCACCTCAGACTCAGGTTTTAAAATCTCAGGCCCAAATCCGCAATCCCCAAGCAACAAAGGGGAGTTTCCGATAATTAAGGGTACCTTATTTTGGGGTCCTTATCATAAGGATCCTACTATTAAGGCTACTATATTAGGGTCCCCTGTTTTCGGAAACTCCCAAATCCCTCCAAGGCGAAAATCTATGGAGTAATTGGGGTGCGAGTGTAATGGAGACCCACCAACAGAAGTTGTACTACCAATTCATCAGATCTCTGTACTCAGCGATCACACACCCTGAATCCAAAACCTTGAACCTCAAGACCTTATAAACCCTAAACCTCGAAACCCTAAAGCCTAAGCGGGCCTAAGCCCTACACAAAGTAGACCCTCAACCCCAAAACCGTAAACCCCTCACCCCTCGCCCCCAAACCCCTAAACCCCCAAACCTGAACCAGGGCTCCAGACCTAAGCCTTGAGCCCCCCCTGCTGACGGTTGAGGCTCTCGGGTGTTAGGGTTTCGGCTTTTAGGGCTTAAGGCTTACGGGTGTTTGTTTTTTGGGTTTTGGGCTTTAGGGCTTAAGTGTGTTGGGTTTGGAGTTTTAGGGTTAAGGGTTTCGGTCTGGAGCCAGGGGATCTCTGAAAGGATCTGCTTTTCGGGTTCGGGGGTCATTTCGGGTTGAGGGCTATTGAGTGGTGTGTGTTGAGTCTGCAGGGGGAGGTATTCTGCAGACATGCAGCGGATCTCTCAGCAGGGCTTGTGTTTCTTTGTCTTTTAACGGGTTTTGGTAGGATACTATAGGGTCTAAACCAGGCTTAATCATGTTTATAGTCGCCTGGAGGACGCGGATTGCTTCAACAACTGCGAAGCGTAAACCTGCCTTAGTGTGACTTATAAATCTACGAATTAGTGCACAGAGCCCTGATTCGATGCTAGGATCCCTACCGCAAGAGCAACGGAATCATTGTCCGCCTATAGGCTAGGCCATGCTGGCCTGCTCTCGAAGTCCATCAATCGGGTCCCTGGACCTTCATTTGTTAAGGGCTAGCGTCTAGCATTTATCATGCAACGTCTAGGTTTTTAAAGGACTTTAAAGGACTGTTCAGAGTTTTATAAGGTTCTGGCCGGTGGGAGTCAGGCTTCTGGTATTCTGGGTGGTCTGGCGTCTCTGGCCACGTGGCTTTGTTTCAGGGCTGCTGGGTTTCGAGGTTTGGGCTTGGCAATTTTGCATGCTGGGCTTTGGAGGTTCTGTTGCAGGTTGTAGGATGTTGGGTTCCATGCTTTGGGCTTTCAAGTTTGTGCGTGCCTGTTGGGGGAACTCCCTACAGTCGCCAGCGCATGAAGCCATGATCGTCAAAGCCTGCTAAACCCCTAAACCCAACACCCTACACCCGAAGCCCTAAACCCCTAAACCCGAAGCCCTAAACCCCTAAACCCGAAGCCCTAAACGCGAAGCCCGACCTCCAAAACCTCTACCGAGGCGAAGCTCTCTCAAGTGGATCCTCCACCCGGTAGCTCCATAGCCGGGCCCCGCTCCTCTGCCCCAGGGTCTCGTGGTTGTGGCGATGTGCATCCCTAAACCTAATCCTATACCCGGGTGCATCGCATGCGATACTTGAGGACCATCGCGCTGTTTTCGCACCGAAAGCTTGAAATCCAGCCGGGAAATAGAGCAAACCTCCACATCCACCGATCCATAAACCTCCCAGGCCCGAAGTCGTAAGCCTTGCACACCCCAAGCCCAAATCCCAACCTAAACGGTCCTAGGTACTGTTCTGGGGGAAGCCCTACACTCACCATTATACAGGTAATTTGGAGCCTTTGGGCAATTCTTCCGAGGCGCGAGTTGGCATGATCTTCCGCGGGCTGCAGGAGCTGCAGCGGCGCCTATTGGACTGCTTTTGGGGGTTTTGGGTTCAGGGTGCAAATCGGAACTGTTCATACTCCCTAGGTGCTCAGTCCCGTGTCCCTTTGAGTGAACCCTAAACCCCAAAGTACAGTTTCGCCCCCCCCTTGGCTTCCGAGGTGTGCCGGTGAAGCCTGAAGAGAAAGAGCCAGAGGCAGCTGTTTTGTGTGTTGTAGCAGGGTTTGTTTTCAGAAATTCGGCGTTAGTTAAGGTTAGGGAGCGTATTAGGTTGCAGAAGTGTTTCAGAATGGATTTTGCTGTTTTCCAAGGGTCTTTCTCAGGGGATTCTGAAAGATAGGCGTGCCTGATCTGAGACTCAGGATTCTGCTATGCCGGGGCTTGGCGGGTCCCTCCGATACAGTTACATGGGTTTGGGTTCAGTGTTCGGGGTTCAGGATTTCTGCATTGGGGTTGATGGTTTATGGTTTTGTTGGACGGAAAGCTGACCTTGTTTGTTTTTGGTTAGAGTCCTGTGATTATTGTGGGAGCTCTGCTATGCTCAAAGGTTCAGAGTTCACAGATTCTGTTCCCCGCATCAGCACGGAAAGGGCAAATTAGGGTGCAGGGCGTGCGCGGAGCGGTGTCGTTGACAGGAGCATGAAGCTATGCGAGTTGGCAGGAATCTAGCTGCTTAATCTCCTGCAATTGAAGCCTTAAATCCTAAAACGTCAACCCATATTGATCCTAAACTGCCGCCTTAAATCCTAGTTCCGGCTTCAAGGCTTTCGCATGCGGCTCAGTGGGCACCACAGACGACATGGTCAAGAGATTCATTTCTGAAGTCGAGATGAGCAGTATAATGATACCCCATGATAGCTTTAGTTATCTATCCACACCAAAACATACCCCAAAGCACTTTTCCACTGGTTAACGGCTGCTATGCACTTCAGTATCATCGCTGAGCCTGGGCTCCACATGCTGAACTGCACATCCCAAGCCCCTACAATGGCTTACAGCCCTAAATCTCAGAAGCCCACAGCCCCTAAACGTGCGAAATCTAGAGCTCACATGCCTGAAGCCTCACATTTCTGACAGAGCTGAAAGTCTGCTTTTCGTAAGATAGTTCCGAAGCGCAGGTGAGCCGAACCGGGCGACATTCTCCGATTCCGATGTCAGCACTGCCATCCCTTCCGTCACTTCCATCCCCTTCCGTCTCCGAGGCACCCAGCGGGCTCTTTTCCGGCTTAGGTGCTTTCATGAACCCAATAAACGAACCAGAACTCGGTTTTGGTGCTTTAGGGCATCGGGGCTTCAGGTTTCGGAGCTTTCGGATCTTTGAGGCAACGCCCGTCGGTTCCTCGGTCTTACTCGCATGGGGGTTTTCGATTGTTCGGGGTTACGCGTCTGGGGGATTTCTGGCGAACGACTGGGTGATCTCACCCTTGGACCTTAAAGATCTTAATTCCCCAAGTAAAGATACCAAGCCCTCAAGCCTAAACTCAATTCCGGTGCAAGGGATCTGAGGAGCCCAGTAGCATAGAAGCCTACAAGTAATCAGCGATACCAATCCGCCATCGTTCCTTTCGAGTCATGATCCAAGTTTATCCCCCCAAACCCTGTCTTTACAGCCCCCAGAATAGAACATCCCGTTAACGCGCTCCCCCTTCTTATGTTCGAGAAACTCCCCTTAAACTTGAGGGTCCGGATTTATGCTCCAGGGTTTAGGGTTTAGCATTCAGGTTTTCGGGCTTGCGTGAATCACCAACGTGTGTCGAATGATAGCCTGTTCCAGGTCTTGGATCATTATTTTGCTCACCATTGTTGGTTCAGGTAGGGTTGCTGATGGTTGACTTCTGCAGACATGTCGCCAGCTTCAGAATGCATCGCCATGAACAGCAAAGGACGCAAGGCTTCACGTTGTTTTCCGAACTTCTGCAACGAGTATGCTGGCTTCTGCCGATCTTGGCACTTCAGCTTGCTAAGGTCTGGCTGTGCTTTGCACTAACTTAGACTTCTTAGCATCGTGCCTACGCACCTCGAAGCTTCACTCTAGAGCATGCATGCACAACCGGAGCAGTCGAGTTTCAGCACTCCTCCTTGAGCGCCCGTCTTTAGTGGGCGATCACACCTCACCTCATACATCTGCTCCCGGATGTGCTCAGCCTCTGTCGCGAAGAGACTTGCCGTGATTGTCCCGGCAACATTGGCATAGGCGCACTGCCCTTGCCTTTGTGTTCCTCAAACCCCAGCATCGTTCATAAGTGTGGAAGTGGTCGCCTGCTGGACTGACATATATGGGATAATTCCAGCCGTCGGGATCTGGGACTGGAGTTGGTACTGCACGATCCTGGTAACATATCAACGGTCTCGGAGGAGGCCACGCCAGATCGGTCTGAATCCCAATATCTGTCGTCATTGGTAGAGGAGGTTGCTGGGAACTAGAAGCAACGGTTTGCCTCATTCTGGGACTGGTCCCCCCTAGAGGCGCATCTGGCCTCGGCGATGGGGTAGCCCTGGATGTTGCCCTTCGCGAAGTAGGCCTTGGTGTCATAAACGCCGAAGACGACCCCACGCTGGAGGTTCCGGAAGGAGCCGTCGGCGGTGGTGGCGATGTAGAATCATCAACCTCTCGCCCATCCAACTGCATCTGTAGTTCTCGAAGAACACTTTCTTGAAGTCTCCGGAGTCTACGGCTCCCTCGAGGTTCTTCAGAACGTGAGCAGCACCGATCGACACAGAGCCACAAACCTTCCCAAAGTCCCACCATTGCAATCCCAAAGACAGCAATCATAACGTAGAGCTCAAAAGACGTAGTTAGCGCCAGTGGCTCCTCCTGCTCATCCTCTTGAGCACGGGCGGCTTGCAACATCAGACATAGCAACATGGCCTTCATGATGGAAGTTTTCGAGGTCCACAAAGCCCCACAAAGCCGTGAGCTCCTGCAAGCGTTGTCGAGGGAAACTCTTCGTCAACAGATCAGCCCATTGGTCCTTCCCCGGCACGTACCGGAGGGTTATCATCTTCTCCTCGATCTGCTCATGTAGGTAAGCCGCTCGTACACGGAGGTGTCTTGTACGCCACGAAGCAGTAGTAGACGGAGAGGCAATTGCGATCGCCGCTTGGTTATCGATCCCCAGGGTAAGCATCGGCCTCGCAGGGTCAATCTGGTGCAAGATTGCTTGTAAGGACCTCGCCATAGTCAATGCCTCGATGGAGGCCACCAACTCGCATTCCGCCGTACTCAAACATACGAACGGCTGCTTCGCTGCCCTCCACGTAATGGGGGAACCTCTCCAACTCAGGACGATCCCTGAGAAGCTCCGGGCCCCACTTGGGGCGAATGAGCTGTCGGAGTATGCCACCAGCTCCTCCGACACCGATCTCAAAGTCAATGCCATGTCACGAGTCTGCTGCAAATACGACAACAACCGGAGCCCTATGGCAATGCACCTTGGAGCAGCCTTGCTTAGCAGTGAACCCATAGCACTGACAACATAAGCAACATCTGGTCGCGAACGTTGAGCAAGCCAAAGCAATTCACCGCATAGTCTTTGAGCCTCCTTGATCTGCTGATCCGTTCCACGATCTTCACCTTCATAGGGTTCGAACGTTACCATTTCCCTCGGTGCCTGGATGAAGGACAAGGCTTGAGGGGAAATATCGTGGTGACGGAGGATCTCGTTGATGTAGGGTCGCTGGTGGATGTAAATACAGTCCATGCTGTCATTGGTGGAAATTTCACAACCAAGAAATCGAATATCTCGATCCACTGAGAGAACATCCAGCTCTGACACCTTCCAAATTCTCCCAATGGTAGACGCAAGGGACTCAATCAATGAACGGGGTCCGGCCAGCATGATATCATCAACGTAGACCAAGATAAGGCCTCCTGAAGGTTGACCGTCCGGGCACCCAACCTCATAGACCATCCACAAGTTGGGTTCAGCCCGGCCTTGTTGCAGCGACCACGTTCGCCCTTCATGATCAAACTTCAACTGTTTGAGCTCGGAGTCGCGGTACTCTTGCCAAAGTCGAGGTGATTGACGTAGGCCGTACATTCCATGCGTCAGCAGCCACCGTTCCGACTCGGTAGCCAATCCCAGCTGGACCAAAGCAGCTGGAGGTCGTATGATGTACTTGATTACTCCCTTGCCCTGAGGCAATGGAGTGAGCATAAAAGCTCCCGTCACGTCCACAATGCCCGGGATCCAATGCCTGGCAGTGGTGTAGGTAAGGGCACATCGGAGACTTTCGGCGGCCGCGCCGCCGGCAAAGATGTCCCCGGCCTCATCAGAGGCAAAGTTGCCGCAACACACAATGCGGGCCTTGCGCCTGCAAAACCCGGACTCATCGCCAGAGCCCGAGGAGGGGGGTAGACGATGGCGGTTTCACGGTATACACAAGCTTGGACGGTAGCTCCTGGACATTGTACTCCGCCTTCAACTTCTCAATGTCCTTCACATGGATCCTCTGGAAACCCTTTTCGACAACTCCAACTTCTTTTTCAATGGCTGGCCTCCAGCGCTCAATCTCAGATCTAGCCTCCTTGGGACTCACATTGTAGGTATGGCGGAGAGGGGTCCCATCTTGAACCGCCTTCTTGATGATATCCTCGACACCCTCAGTGTACTCAGGTTCCATCTTTGCCATACAAGGAAATCCCTGTTGAACATCAAGGCCGCACCAGTACTCCAACCTTCCGACCAGATCATCTTGAAGAGAGTCTGATATCTCCTCCTCAAGCAACACATCAGAGGCCTTCAACAAAGCTGGAAGCTCACCCGCGGGGTCGTCGGAGCCACAGACCTTGCGCAAACCCCGAACTTGATTCGCTTGATCATCACCATCAACTTCAGCAGGTAACTCCTCCTCAACATACATCGCCCAATCCCATAGGGTGCCCTCACAATCTCCAATGAAAACCTCATCCACATCATCACTATAACTGCAAGTTCCACTCGGCAGCTCAGATGGCAAGGATGATGCCTTCAGTACCGGTGTGGTTTCCGGCGTTCCGCCTCCAAGGCGGTTCTCCTCCTCCGACAAAGGAAACTTCAACTTCTGGAGATAATCTTGATCACCTTGTTTCAACTTGTAGGCACCTTGGGGAGTATAGGCTGACAAGAACCAACGCACACCATCTCCCTTGACATATGCATGCGGAGCCAGCGGATCAAGCACTGCCGGCTTCTGGGTGATGTCAACCAAACAACCATCACGTACATCACCATCCTGACCTTCAAGTTGGTAATCTCGAGGATTTTCATCGCCTACAACCCTGCGCTCATAGCCCTTGTCTTCAACCCACAGACCATTCGTAGGCTCTGCCTTGACTTCACAAACGTAGTTGTAGGTGCCTCGCTCGTTGTGTACATCCCGGTGCCGAGGTATTTGGTCGGCAGCCTGAATGGCTAAAGTCGTCCACGTGGGTTTCACTGCCACTCCATGCTCATTGATCTTGTGGGCCACATACCCATTCAAGTACTGGGCAACCCAAGGAAGGTCTCGCCCATAGCGAGTCACTCCAAACGAACCTCCATGAACATACGCTCCAATCACAAGTCCATGACCTCCAGGAGCACGAGGGACCTTCAAGTTGCCACAGGTTCCGCCGAGAACACCAAGGACCTGCTTGATATGATCCTCACCAAACTTCCGGTCCTGGTACAGGTGCTGGGCAATCTTTTCCACATACTGAATCTCCTCGACCCTCAAGTACTTCATGATTGAATCATCCTGCACCACGCCGCGGGCCTCAGACAACCCGACGAAGGACTCATAAACCTCTCCAAATGCAGCCACACTGGGGGTCTTCTCACGAAGTCTAGTTGCTGGTGGTGGTCGAGCAAGTGGTGGTAGAGCAGGTGGTGGTAGAGGAGGTTCACTATCTACTTCAACATCTGACCGGGGTTCCTCTACAAGAACGACAGGCGCTACCTCGTCCAACGGAGGTGGTTCTTGAGCGATCCTGACATGGGTGGTTTGCACGAACGTGCCGGTGGACTTCAGAATGACATGTCCTCCCCGAATGTCCGTTGACGGACCCACATATTTGCCCTGGACCCAATGATGACCGAAATCCTCCACGGCTCCAGTCTTGTACTTCTTGGTCTTCACATAAACCTTGGTCCCATAGGCAACAGGAAGGGGGGGCAACACTCCAAGCTGATCACATCGTTGCTGAGCAGCTGCATACTGGACCGCCGTGGGCCAGTTCTCCTTTGAGATCCCTCCACTATCAAGAAGGATCCGGGCACGGCGCTTGAGGTATCGAACCCCGGACTCAGCCACGCCGTTTGATGCCGACTCCGACCCCGATGTCGTAGTTGGCCACATGCCCTGCGACAGGGCCCATCGTCGAACCAAGTGCCCTCGGAACTCACCGCCACGATCTGAATGCAAGCGGGTAACTGGATATCCAAGAGCCTTCACATCCATGACAATCTTCTGAACCGCTGGCAGCATCGTCGCCGCCTTCTTGTTGTTCACGGGAACCGCAAAGTAAAGGGTCGTAGTAGAGATCGGCTCCTTGAACGTAGAGAGCAACTGCCGCCATTGCTCCTTTTCACGCTCCACTTGGGAAGCGTCCACATAGTCCGCTTCCACGGGCCCTTCATCATCAGCCACCTCGTCCTCGGACAACTGATCTTCTTCATCATCTTCATGTCCATCCGAGTCAGGAGGGGGTATTGGATGCCCCTTCACATCTGCGTGACCATGACCTCCATGAACATCTGGAATCCTGAAGGCCCCGATGACAAAATACTTGAAGTACTTCCCATCCGGAGATTTCCCATAGCCCTTCAACGGACCCACCACATCTACGCTCAGCGTGTAAGCCATGGGGTGCATCGTGGCCCTGTGCTGTTTGCCCGAAGCACTGTTGCGAACACGCACCGCACAATCGCGGAAAGGGCTGGTGGCCCCGCATCACATGCAGTCGCCAAGCTGCATCAGCATCCATCTTTGCAATCCTGAAGTGCCGCTCTCCCGTAAACCTTTCAACCGAGATGTCCATGATGCCCATCTCAGTCATGTAGTCCTGGGCGTCACGGCTGCATGACCACGCCGGCCAAACTTCTGCCTGGGCCTTTCCTTCAGAGCTCACTCTTCTATGTAAATCTTCAACCATGAGTCGTACCGGACCTTGTCCATGAACAGTTCGCCCGGCAGTGGACAAAGCATGGAGGAAATGGATCTTGCTCCGATGCTGGGGCGCTATGATTTGATCCAAATGATTGCCGGGGCTGTCACGGGAGACCACTGTTCCTATCTTTCCAACCGAAGCTGCCCATGACAAAATCCTCCACACATCCACAAACTCACTCTCAACAAGCAAGGTGTTCACATTCACGTAGATGGTGTCCCCTGCCAAAGAAAGCTGCTTCAAATCATCGCGTCGCCTTTCCACAGTAGGCGCATCCCATCGTACTACCCAGGAAGCTGAGTTCATGAGGCGCTTTCGTGAGCGCCGGTTCAAGCTCAGCTCCTTCATCAAATCCCAGGGTTTTTTCCTGGGCCGTGAGATCACCAAAATCTCCTTCATCATGTCGCGGTAGTTCATGAACGGTGCCTTGTCAATCGCGGCCTGGCCTGACGCCACATTCCCGGAAACCGAATACTCCATCAAGCACGACCACCAACTGGCCTTGACGGCCTTCAGCGCCCTCACAGACGCGGCAGTCGTCTGTTGTAGCTCCGGGAGGTGCGCCTCTTCAAGGCGCGCAATCAAATCCTGGGCCACCTTCTCACTCACTTGCGGGCATCCTCGCACAACATCCAACTGAACAACCTCACCGTCGGGACCCTCAAGCTGGCAGATCTCCTTAGTCCACTTAAGCGAGAAGCCCAGCGTTGAGATAACTCTTCCCATCGGGACGATCACCTGAGCGAGCTGGTCCCCATTCAACAAGGAACCCGCCTCATTCTGCTTCATTGATGCATAGGAATCCCCTGCAAGCTGAACATGCACATTTCTTGCATGGTCCCACTCCTCCTCGGACTTTGGGCCTCGTAGTACATGGGTCGCTCCTGAATCCAAGAGTGCTGATCGCGTCCTCGGGGATGGGGCTGAATCAGAATTGGTCCAGCCCTTTAGTCGCGACATCACCTTCCTGAAGAGCGGGATGTCCTGCAAGCCCGCGAGAACCTTCATCACCTTTGCCTGGATCACACCATCGCCCTCAAAGTTCACCTTCCGAGGAGGGGCCTCTTGTGAGGACGCCGTTGGGGAAGAAGCACCCTGCTCCACAGCACCTGCATTCTGAGTCCTCGTAGAGGTGGGGGATCTCGAACTCGACTGTCCTCCACCAGGTGCTCGGCATTCTTTGACCTTGTGGGCCGTTGACCCACAGCATAAACACTTCTTCTGTCGGGCACCCTTCTCAAGCAAAGCCCATGTATGGGGAAACCGACACGTGTTTCCTCGACGGCACCCTTTCTCTGACGCAAAGAACTTGCACAACGATCCTGCACCCTTGGTTGTCGTAGTGGTCGCGGGAGCCGTAGGCGGAGGAGGTGGAGCACCCGTAGTCGTCACTGCGCGAACCGCAGCAGCTGTGTCCACTAGAACTGAGCTCAACCTTGCTTGCTGCTCCATCTCGGCCTGGAGGTGCTGCAAGAACGTGGTGATGGATGCTGCGCTCGGACTCACATCCACCTGAAGAGTGCTCCGAATCAGGCTCACCCTAAAGGAGAGCTCGCTGTTGGCCTTCACGATCTGGCCAGTTATTCTGTCCAAGCCTCTCAAAAGGACAGAGGCATCTGGTTCCGCCATCCCAATCGAAGCCGCCCTCCGCCTCCACAGGTTCCATCGCTGAAGTGATTCGACGGCCTCCAACGCAGAGGCACATGCATCTGGCTGCTCCAGCATCCGTAGAACCAAACTCTTCTCCTGCAAGTTCCCAGGTTGGTACACAGAGTAAAGCTTGCACAGGAGGTGGAGGCTATTGACATGGCCCCCTGATATCACTTCCTCTCGCACCTGCTTCGGCACAGCTGACAACATCATTGCCGTCGCCCTCCTTTCTACCCGGATCCACTCCGGTTTCTGCAGCTCCATAGACGCTTGGGGCTTCAGCTGAAGCCGCTCCAATGGCGGAGCCGCGCTGTACTGTGAGTACCATGTCAAGGCGTCCTTCAGAGTCATCTGCCACCACATTGACGACGTATCAGAAAGGTCCTCCATCAAAGGGCCAATGTGGGTGATCCAGTTCAAGAGATCTATGGATCCTGTGCTTGGCTGGTACTCCGGGAGTTCGGGGAGCTGCGATACACCAGGCTTAACTGTTTCTGGTCTGTCAACCCTCGTAGCCTGAACTTGTTGTTGATGAAGTAGCGACTCAATGCCTCTAGCGAGAGTAGCCAGCAGATTACCTTCAACAGACCCAGGCGCCTTGGTTCCCTCTGGAGGTGCGATTGGTGGTTGTAGAGGAGGTAACACTGGTGGTCGCGGAAGATCTGGACAAGCCTGAGGACCCATCGAACTTGGACCAGGGCCTGACACAGGAGCTGGATCATCGCGATTGCCCCGACTGAAGAGACCTTGAAAGAACGCCCTCGGTCCTGGAGACTGTGACCTTGACTTTGCTCTTCCCGAAGAACTAACAGGACCAGGTAGAGGAGGTTGCACGGGAACTCTGGTGTGAACTCCACGGCCACTAGAATCTGGAGCTACACCCTCTGGAACCCTAAGCCAATCACCATGCTCGACTCCGAAAGGATCTAATGCACGCCCTTCAGAACGACCTTGCGGTAGGCCTTGCATTGTAGTAGGTCTCTCTGGGCCTGGTAGAAGCTCCTGAATTGTAGTAGGCATCGGAGGAACAGGTAGAAGCTCTTGAAGTGTAGTAGAGCTCGCACGACCAGGTAGCAGCTCTTGGATTGTAGTAGAAGTCGCGGGACCAGGTAGAAGCTCTTGAATTGTAGTAGAGCTCATGGGACCAGGTAGAGGAGGTTGCAGGGGAACTCTGGTGTGAACTCCATGGCCATCGAGCTCCAAACCCGGGGGCTCTGCAACATTCTCTCTCACTGGCGCTTGCATCCGCAACTCATATCGTTCCAGCTGCGCTCGTAGTCGCTGAGCTTCCATAGTAGCCTGCTCTGTCCGTTGCCTTTCTGCCGACAGTCGCGCCATCACTTCACTCATAGCCGCATCCAGTTGTCTAGTCACTTCAGCTTGCACCATCTCTTGAGGTATCCCACCCGAACCACTGGATACTGAATCGGGACGATGCTCCTGCCTTGAGGGCGAAGCCATCATCATCGTCTGCACCTGGCTCTGATTGTGCCATGTACCATGAACTTCAGGAGAGGTTGCTGAGGGAGGTGCTGTCCAAGCTGTGACCTCAACCCGCTTCTGGATATAGTCACCAAGGCGAGAGAACCACGAGCCTGCACGAGGCCCTGTCCTCCCTTGATCAACAGGTGACTGTCCCGGAAGAGGAGATGGCACGAACTGCGGAAAAAGAGGTAACTGAGGAGCACCGGAGGCTCCATTGCGAATTTGATCTCCAGGTGCACTCTCCCCAATCATCATGTCAGGGACCTGGAGTCCTTGCACGGCTGCTGTTCCCTCCACAGGAAGCTGACGCAGCCCATCCGATGCTGCTCTGCTTCCTTCTGAAGCTATGTGTTGTGCCACTTGAGGGGCTTCCACTCCAGAATCATCACGAGGCGGAGCGGGAGACGGTCTCGTAACCCCATTGGGCATTCCGGCGACATCATTCTGCTCGCGACCATTTTCAGCGGGGCGCAGCGATCTCCCTGCATCTTGATATGCAGGGCCATTGTCTTCTCCTTCCAGTACTCGCAGCGTTGGGCTCATACCCTGCTGATGGTTGACTTCTGCAGACATGTCGCCAGCTTCAGAATGCATCGCCATGAACAGCAAAGGACGCAAGGCTTCACGTTGTTTTCCGAACTTCTGCAACGAGTATGCTGGCTTCTGCCGATCTTGGCACTTCAGTTTGCTAAGGTCTGGCTGTGCTTTGCACTAACTTAGACTTCTTAGCATCGTGCCTACGCACCTCGAAGCTTCACTCTAGAGCATGCATGCACAACCGGAGCAGTCGAGTTTCAGCAAGGGTATACCTGGAGGTTGATGGGTAGTTACACGTGGGGTATAGTTTTCCTAGTGTCGGCTGTATTTAAGTTACCGAAATTGCAACTCCACTTTTCACTAACCATGAACCTCCAAGCAAGGATCGTTGAATCTTGGAAAGTCTCTTGGGCTCTTGTTCGAGGATCGAAGAATGGGGTCCAGGCCTTGTCGTCTGACTTTAACAGGGATCTTTTGGGGGAACTTACCTTCAGCTCTCTGTCTTGCTTTTGGGTTTAAGGCTTCGGCTATCTGTGTTCGTAGGGCTTCGGCTCATTATCTGCGTGGAGGGTTCGACGTGCCCATGTGGATGTCGCTTGTACATTTTTCTTATGTAAGCACGAGAGATCGATGCATGCTCCGTGGGTCCTACAAACTCTGCATTGTGTGACACAGAAAAGACGGGGCCCAAGGGGCTCTTGCAGAGGAGTTCAACATACCAAAAATCCATTGAAACAACACGTTCAGTCTGTTTCTTGCAGGACCCCGACCGGCTTGCGGCCATTGTGCAGGACAGTTTTATTGTACGACATTGGGGTGCGTGTCGGATTTCGGGTGTCAGGACTGCGAATATTCAATTCCTAGTCGGTTAGCCTATGGTTAGCTTGTGTATCCCGTTATATGGTCATTGCATAAATGCACATATCATACCCCAAGCCCTATTCTAAGGAGTGGCGGAAAGGCCGCAGGCTGTGGCATGTTGCTGTCGCAAGGAAGGAAGCAGGTATATTGACACAGCTTTACGCAGTGTAGCAGAAGAAAACTGAAGAAGCACACTCGTCAGCGCTATCACCTAAGCAAAAACAGCCTCAAGCTGCTATGGATCTACAGGAAGGACTTTTGTAGTGTTGACCGCGACTCGAAAGGACCACCAAAACATGCCCTTGCACATTTGGGACCTGCATGATTAGACTAAGTTTGGTGGTCTGCGTCCCACATTTCGAACAAGGAGTTTTGATGAATAGTATCACTGATGCTTCTGGCTTCTATACTGGCTCAATACGGCTGGAGGCAGTTTTGTGACTTATCGTTGAGCTGCTGAAGGCCTCAGACTTGAAGCCCACACCCAAAGCGCCACGGCTCAAGGTGTTGATCTTTAGGGTGTCTTTGGTCGAAGGGTTCCTTTCTAGCTACCCTCATAAAGAAGATCCTGCGAACAGGGGCTGACATTTCTTGGGCTCCGACTTTCTGCAAGTCTCCTATGTTCCCAGTTCTACCGCTGCAAAATGCTGCAAATCCGAATGATTTCTGGTGAAGAAATGAGCGTACCGCTCCACGGGATACACGACGTGAGGGGCTTGAAAAGGCACCTGAATCAGCTGCGTGGCTTTCCCTTGGGATTTAGGCAGAGGCTCCTGCTCAATGGCGAGACCTTGGAAGATACTGTGAAGCTGGTCTCACCCATAAACCTAGATCTCGTTCTCGTGCACTTCATCGATGCTTCGGAAGAGCAGGTGGACGACCTGCTGCAGGCTGCTGCCGAGGGCTCCCTGGCCGAGGTTGAGTCCAAGCTGCAGCTGCCCCAAGATCCAGACTCGAGAGGCAGATTCGGCGCCACAGCCTTGACGGCGGCGTCTCGCGCCGGTCATATCGAAGTCGTGAGATTGCTGCTGGACGCCGGCGCCGACAAGACTGCAGCAACCATCGACGGTTACACTGCTTTGCTGATGGCATCTCGGGGTGGCCATGTCGAAGTCGTAGGCTTGCTGCTGGACGCCGACGCCGACAAGGATGTGGCAGACAGGTACGGCAACTCGGCTTTGATGTTGGCATCTCATGCAGGTCATGCCGGAGTTGTGAGGGTGCTGCTGGATGCCGGCGCCCACAAGAATGTGAGAAACATGGACGGCGGCACCGCTTTGATGGCAGCATCTTCCGAAGGTCATGCCGAAGTCGTGACGATTCTGCTACATGCTGGTTTTGATGTGGATTTGGCAGACTGCGATGATTCCACAGCTTTGATGTGGGCATCTAAAGCAGGTCATGCAGGAGTCGTGGGCTTGTTGCTGGATGTTGGCGCCGATACGGACTTGGCAAACAACAACGGTCGCACGGCATTTATGTTGGCAACTGACGCAGGTCATGTTGACATCGTGAGCTTGCTGGAAAGAAGGTAGCACTTTGATTACCGCATGCTTCGGGCAAGACATGCATCCTGCTTTCGTAGGACTGCCAGCATTTGCCGTGGCGTCGTGTCGGGTTTCATGCTGGGCTTGAGCCACTCGCAGTTTCAGCGCAGTTTTGGCATGAGGCAGCATCTTCAGAGCCTGATTGTAGTATCCTTACAACAAGGAACCCCAAACCAGAGTATTCGTCATTATTCAGGCCCCTTGTGTTGTGAGGATGGCCCTGGTGATCATCTAAAAAGGATCTAGAACGGATCTATAAGGTTTCTGTAAGGGTTCGAAAAGGCATCTAGAAGGCTGGGACTAGTGTTCCTGAGTCTGTGAGACGAACCAGCGAGCAGATCCGATAGCACATAGTAGGCGGTTGTGGCACTGATAATTTGAAAAGGGGAGGGGGACATATTATACTGCAACTATATAGGGGGATCAGAAGGAATGATATGGTTTAAGCATTCCGGACCGAAATTCGCAGAATGCTGGTCACCTCTCAAATATCCATCCGTAGGATTACAAAGCCACCCATTTTTCGGGTTTAGGGTGTTTAGCTTGCTTGGTTGAGGTTGTAGGGTTTGGGATTTAAGGGCTAGTTAGAGTAGGGCTTTGGCTGACTTTGTTGTATGCCTATCCTCGGTGCCCCAAGGAGTATGATTACTACCTGGCGGATCAAGGGAATTAGAAAGCAAGGTTCTACGTACCATAATCAGGCTTACCTTGCAATGTGCAGCCCCATCTACTGAGTAGACACACAAGTGGGTAGTTTTCAAAATTAGGGTCCCTTTTTGGGTCCCTTTGATATTAATTAAGGCACCGAATATTCAGGGCACCCAAAAAGGGACCCCTAATTTTGACAACCACCCAAGTAGGGTTTAGAGTTTGGGGGCTGGTCTTCTAAAATCCAAGAGACGGAGAGGAGGATGAGACGGGAGCCTCCTTCCAGTACATGATGTCTTATCAGGCGCGAGCAGGGTTCGGGTTTAGGGTTCAGGAGTTTGGGATCCCCTATGGAATCAAACCCTAAACCGCCTAAACCCTAAAACCCTAAAACCCTAAACCCCTAAGCAACTGCTGCTCCGAATGTCGACTGTGGGATCTCCCCCGAATCCTCCCGGCGTGTTTCGGGCTTCTTCCCTTGGCGCGCAGACTTCACGGACCGATTGCAGGAGCTTGGGAAAGCTTTCGAGCTTGCATTTCAAGGCTATCTTCAGGGGCTTGGGAGTAGCTTGGTTGAAGTGCCACTGAGCATGGTCGTCCTCCCTTGGGTTCCGTCTCAGACTTCAGGGGGGCAGCCTCCTCTTGCTTTTGTGGACTTCCCCGCGGTTGGAATGCAGTTCAGCCTCTCTTCCGTAGCTCCCTAACCCTTATAGGCCACGCTCCTGACCAACCCTAATCCCTAAAGTTTAAATCCCTAGACCGCGAACAACCTTCCGGTACAACGCGCGTATACATCCAGGCCACAGCTTCATGGATGCTTTGGAGAAGCCGAAACCCGAATCTTAAATCTGTATTTTTTTGCGAAGCCTTGCAACACCTGAAAAGGGCGCTGACAACGGAAAATACATCCCGTGGTAGAAGTCCTTGAAGACCTGTGCAAGAGAGAAGGAGTTCCTGGATGGCCTCATCGTGCTGACACAGTTTAAGGCTTCTCCAGCTCAGGGTTCGAAGCCTTCGGGATGTGTTCAATTTAGAAGCTTGAACCATCCGTAATACTATTCCGTACTACACAGTATGCCCCACAACCCTATCCTGATTATCGAGGCCCCCTTAGAGTTTGGGGGTTCGGGGTGTAGAGCTCAGGGTGTGGAGCTTTGGGTTGGGGGGTTATTTGTTTTGGACCTTCTTTCTCGACCTCCCAGACCCCCGGGAGGATCCAAAAAGTAGATCCCTTAATGGGGGTTCCTATACAGTACCCGTAGTAGTATAGGGCCCCAAATCAGGGGATCTACATTCTAGTTTCTCCCGAGGTCTGGGCTTGCCCAGCTCGCGTTGTTTTTGTTCTCAGATTCTTGGCTTTTGGTGATCGGAGACGGGCAAGGGGGAGCTTGCGGGCTGGCCGTGTTGATGCAAGGCTGTATCTAGAGCGTGTCAGCTCAGTGTAGCTAGTTATCTTCTTTGCAGTTTGGTGTGGGAGGCTAGCAATCCACGCCTTACAGTCCCCTAAACCCTAAACCCCTGAACCCCAAACCGTAAACCCTAAAGCCCTAAACCCCTAAACCCTAAAACCCTACAAGTGAAAGGGTGAAGGAGTCGGATGAGCTATATACTTCAGACTTTGAGTGCTCGCCACTCCCCAGGTTTCTCCAGCTAGGGCTCCGGAAGAAGTATGAATGTGCAGGTCTCCGAATCTCTGCTCCCATCTTCTAACCTCCACCCAAATATGGGAGTTTCCGAAAAATAGGGGACCCTACAGTAATCTAGTACCCTAAATAGTAGGATCCTGACTATAAGGACACCAAAGGGGCCGTGAAGAGCCTCGATCGGAGGCTCCCCAATGCTTAGCAGCCTTATTCCATTCGAACTCTGATCCTTCCTGCATTTGGGAGTTTATGAAAATAGGGGACCCTAATATAGTACCCCAAATAGTGGGATCCTTATTATAAGTTTTCGGAAACTCCCATTTATCCTCCTGCAGCT